ATGATGGTGTATCCGAAGCGAAACGTCGTACAGAGAATCTCTCAACGTGTTGTAGACTTCAAAAAGTGGTAATGAGAAACTGTCTTGTTTTTCTATACGGGGTGTCCCAGAATAACGTTCGTATTCAAAGGAAGGAAGGAATGCTCGAAGATATCTCCACTAAAATTAATGGTGTTGTTACATAATTATAAGGGACATGTTTCAGTCTTATGAAAGACCAACTTCAGCCCAATGGAAAGTTCTGGAATTGAAGAAAATTTTCATGCTACTAGTTGTGGAATATTTATTGTCAATGCCCATTGTCGAAAAATCAAATTAATAATGAAAAAAACGGCCCCGTGCTCTGAGAGCGCATACCATTATTTTCATTGAAATTTCATGTACCAAAATGGTTTATGAAGGGTATTGCCAAGAGGTTTGTTTTGACAACACCATATATTAACGGGTTTATGAAAAAAAGGGTTCCCCGTGCCCTTATAAAAGCGCTATTCGAGGAAGATATCAATAAAATTGATGGGCCAAACAGCCAGCACGTGTTCAAATCTTAACTTTAGTTTCATCCTTAGAATCACAAAATTTGGTAACTGAGGATGATTTGTGTGACAAATCGTTTAGTGGTAGGGAAAACATGATTCAATATACAGGGAGGTGCGGAACTCCGGTGCTATAAAAATGCTCCAGGTTTCAAGATTCATTCTATATCTACTACAAGAATATAATTCTTTGAACACTTTCACATGGAGAAGGTATTCTTGTTAGAATTCCGTAAAACAAACAGTTTTCGGCGGTAGAAGGGTCATTCTTCGTTTTGATGTCCAAAGAAATTCACCTTATAGAAATAATAAGTTTGTAAAATTTTGTCAATTTCCAATGCAACTATTTCCTCAATAAATCAATATGTGAAATTTGAATTATCAAGTTCTAATTCTTAATCATAAGAAAAACGCCCAAAATCACGAAAAATCATTGTGAATTTTCTGATTTCAGGATGATATAGGTACTTCCACATTGACTTTGTTATTACTATGTTTGATGATGACCATTTGAATGTTCGAAACATTTCTCAATGAAAAGTAATGAAGCAAAATTGACTGCATCATACTTCACCAGTAAACTTGTGTAGACAGCTTTGAGTTTTTTCTCTGTTCAATTACATCAAAGTTTATAAATACCTACCATATGTACTATTGAGTGCGCATAATCTCAAAGTCAATGCAATAGATTTATATTTTCGTCGCGTCGCGACGCTTAGCTCTCAGTGGGCGATGAATTTTTCAAACTTCGAAAAACTACTTGACCTCATCCATCGACTGCTTTATACAGAAATGAAATATTTTATTCGTTTTCGAGATATCCGCTTGCGGAGTTTTATGTTTAAAACCCTGTATATCTCGCCAAAAAAAGTTTTTCGGCATAATGCTTCATTTCCCTCCTAAAGTCTTTTGATTCACTTTAAAACGATAATCAATAGGTTGAAAATGTAAAAAGAGGATTCTATCTAATGCTGGACTAATAACGACTTTTTTGTGTTTGTCTTCTTTAAACCAGTAAATACCTGAACCTCCGTTATCTTAAATATTTAATTTGAGCATTTTTTTGCCAAACAACTTATTCTGGTGACATCCTGATAAGAAACACCTCACTTTCAGTTTCACCTTGTATATAGTGTGTTTATTTCAAGCTCTAGGCGATTTTGAGTCTTGGCTGTTTATTTATATGTGATACCTTGTAATTCAGTGGTGATATTGATTACGTTATGTTTTCACTACTATTGTAGAAAGAAAAATATAATTATTTAGTAGGCCATATTGTTCGATCAAGTTACCAATAATTTTTACAAAAATTCAAAATAATGCGTTATTATTATGTGCCAACTTTGGATCAAATCAAAGAAGTATTACCTATTTCCTTGACACATAAATCAAAAAGAAATGTTTTTTTATCTAAGTTTCATCACATTTTTTTTATACAGCGATACATATATTAATAATAATATTCTAACATATCTCATGAATGTAATGAAACTATAATAAACTTATTATGCATCACTAGGTGATTTAATTCTCTTGCACATTTACGGGTGCCATCAGGTGTGAATGATGGAAATCATGGCCATATTGAAATATGTTTTCAATTTGAATACAATTGAATACATTAGGTAGGTGAAAGTTCAACAAAATATGAAACTATCTGAATCTGAATCAAAGTTTATGCCACTGACAAATTCTCGAAAGAAATACGAAATATTCATTCCGACAATGCCTCAATGTGAATAAAACTGAACATTCTTCGACAAAGATACACCCTTAGACTATCGATCACCCTTCAAAAAGGAAAGCGAAATTATTAACTGCTTTTTTTGTAGATTTTTGAGTATTGAACAGAGTGGTACTTTCTTGTTTACATTTTTGTTCTATCGTTTGGTCAAAATCAGTTGAATCAGAATTATATTGAAGAATTATTTTCAATATTATCACAAAATTTAGTACGTCTTTCATGATGAAATATAGTTGAAAAATAATGATCCACCAGAAATGTACAAAAAATCAATTTATATGAATCCATTTGGAAGATGTTAGTTATCTGTTAGAAAAAAATTGAAAATTCATTCGAACGTTTCAATTCAGTGGCGTAACTAGAACTTTTTGGCCCCAGCGCAAAATACATAAGGAGGCCCCCCTTTCAGTCACGAATCACAAATAGTAAATGAAAATAAAAGAACGATCTAAACGAACTCTATTTTTTCAACTTATTCTATTTTACATATAATTTGACAAAACATTTCATCGCATCAATGGAAAAGCCAATCTTGAAAATAATTTCAGATCACCTGAGTTTAATATGAAAATCAATGTTTTTTATTATAAAAAAAAGAAATCATGATTAACTTTGAATATAAACTAACTTATTAAAGGCTAAAATTATTGAAAAGGAATATTCTCAGATATAATTATGAACATAAAGAAATGGATATATATACAGGGTTGGGCGAAAGTTTGGAACCAGGTGAATATCTCGGTAACCGTTTGTTAGATTTTCCTGAATATATGTACAGGGTGATTTCAAAACGTGGTGGATTTGAAAATGTTATCGTCGATGTTGCCACTCTTTCAGTTCTTCCGGAATTATTATTAACTTCCTTATTTTAAATAGAACACCCTGTATTTTACTGAATTTTCAAATTCTCCCTCAAAAGCTGATTTCATCGATTCATCACACTTGGGGTCTGGCAAGAATGATAACTGAGATATAGGGTGTTCAAAATCGAGATTTGTCAACTTTTGGAATTTTTTTGTGTCGAAACTATTCATTATCTGTCAAAACGGCTTTCATGTCCCTATTTCAACTGTTGATTTACTATCTATTGGTATTTAATGGGAACAGATACAGGGTGATCAGACTTATGAATATTTGAACCACCCTGTATTTGTTCCAATTAAATGTCGGTATAGATAGTAAATCAAAAGTTGACGTAGGGACATGTAAGCCGTTTTGACCAATAATGAATATATTTCTACACAAAAAAATCCTAAAGTTGAAAAATCTCGATTTTGAACACCCTATATCTCAGTAATCATTCTTGCTAGACCCCAAGTGTGATGAATCGATGAAATCAGCTTTTCAGGAAGAATCTGAAAATTCAACAAAATACAGGGTGTTCTATTTAAAATGAGGAAGTTAATAATAATTCTGGAATAACTGAAAGAGTGGCAACATCGACGATAACATTTTCAAATCCACCACGTTTTGAAATCACCCTGTACATATATATTCAAAAAATCTAACAAACGGTTACCAAGATATTCACTTCGTTCCATACTTTTGCCCAACCCTGTATAGAGAGAGAAATACATTGAGAATTCGCATTCTCTATGTGATGAAAATATCAATTCTTCCTCGGTTCATTCAACATAAAACAACTACTTTCCATGCACGACGAAAATTGAATTACATCTATTGAACACACACGATAAGAATTTGAAAACAAAATTTTCTGAAGTAGAGAATTTGCATTCTTCTTCATATGTAGATATATATACGCACATAATATCATTCTGAATATTCAACAGAAAACAACTACTTTCCTGGCTATTTGTTACGTTGAACATCCAAAAAGAGAGCATAAAAAATGGAAATCCTCTGAAATTGAGAATTGACATCATCTCTCAAATCGGATAAAATAATATGATGTATTATTATATATCATGACACATTGTTGAGATTGTTTTGTAGTCTTTAACAGCTAAAAAGAGACATTTTTTTCAAGATGAAAATCTCTCATGAACATATATGCGTAGGACCTTCGTTTCCGATATACAGGGTTTCGCATTTTGCACGTCTACATGTCCCCAAAAGTGCATCATCCTGTAGGTATTCAAGAACGCTCTATAGCCTCAAATATTGAGTTTTCAAAGTGTACCAGGTGTACCAAATTTCAATTCATTAACTTGAAAAACACAAGAAAAATCTCAAACTTTGAAACCCTGTATATCGGAAACGAAGCTCCCCGCATATGAAAAATGTGTCTAAGTAGCTGTAACAATCCTGCTACAAAATACGGACTCGAAAAATGAAGTTTCATTACAAGTAAATTATTTTTGGCATTCATCTTGAGATCCATACAATTTTCGAAAAAACAGGAGGAAGCAAAAAGTATCCAAATTGAAGGGAGAATCCAAATGGATGTTTCATAGAAAACGAAGAAAACATGTGTAGACAGAACATCGCAGTGGAGGTTCAATGTCTCGAAATCTCGTACTTCTAACATCTCTGAGATGTTGTTGTGCTCGTTGGGTAACCTCCAATTTTCAAAATCCGATCTCGAATGATTCAGAAATTACAGCACTGTCCGTTTGTTGTGCACTTTTCAATACACACATCACGAAGAAACATCCCTTGAATTTCTCGAACGTACCAGGAAACAGAAACACCCTGTATCACTGTCTCCTGGAATGTGCTGCACAGTAGCAACAAATTTCCATACCATTTCCTTTGTGTTCGTGGAACAATAGAAGTCGCTGGCCGCCTTGGTTAATGCTGATGAGGCATTTTTTTTTGTTTGGTCGCGCTCATTTGCAAGGAAAACAGTTGAAGAGCAGTCGTCCAGTGGAAAATGTCGACCATCGTTACGGAAACGATACGGGAAGATGCCGTGAAACCGCTTTCCACGGCCAGAGAGACCAACTGGATCAAAGTGCTCTTCCAGATACAGATAACGCTGTCTGCGTTATGTGCCATACATTTCCTGCTCAGCGATTCCTACTGGAGGACGATTTGGTTCAGTGAGTATAAAGTTTCTTCTTATTACCACGAGATCTTCAATTTCCGGTTTTAAATTAAAGCTAGAGACGCTAGAATGGTATTCGGTAAGAACATTTGACACCGAAATATAAAAAAATATATACTAAAAATTACAAAATGCCGACTTTAGTTACGCAAAATATCAATAAGGCAGCTGGTGGTAGGTAAAACTATCATTCTTGACTAACTTTATTCCACTAGAGTTGGTGGAAACATACAGTGTGTCCCACTTACCATGCTCACCATGGGTATCTTTTAAACGGTGAGAGATACGAGGTCGGTTGAATGACACCAAATGTGGAGTTTGTCAAGGCCAACTATAATGTGAAAAAATATTTCGATAAAATCTATTCGTTTTTGTTTTATACGCAAAAAACAGATTTTGATCATTTCCATGTCTCCTCCGTAACTTCTTTATTTATGAAAATATTCAAATAGGAATTTCACATTCTCATGGCAGTTTTTCAAAGTGATTTCGAGAAAAATATTAAATTTATACCAACTCTTCTAGAATTTGAGATATCAGCACCAACTTTAGTTTTTCAAATGTAGGTCATAGCTCACTATGACTTAGTTACAAATAACTTTTTTTTCTCCCACAGATGATATGTCGCAGTAATAGTTTTTTGTTGATAACAACGGAGTTATCGTCATTTATACAAAAACAAAAAATTATTTGGAAGCCGCCATCTTGAATTTATAAACTTTAACAAGAAAATCATGATCTCCGACCTCAAAAACCCCCACTCACCAATTTTGAATGGAATCGGACCAAATCTTGTCCGCCATCTTGGAGCAGCCATTTTTTTTTTAATTCAACAAAAATTCCATAACTCCGATTAACTTGAAATTTGGCAGGTGTTCATAATTTCGGTGACAATACTTTATGGAATTTTTGTTTAAATAAAAAAACAATGGCTGCTCCAAGATGGCGGACAAGATTTTGTCCGATTTCATTCAAAATTGGTAAGTAGGGGTTTTCGAGGTCGGAGATCATGATTTTTTGTTAAAATTTATGAATTCAAGATGGCGGCTTCCGAATAATTTTTTGTTTTTGTATAAATGACGATAACTCCGTTGTTATCAACACAAAACTATTACTGCGACATATCATCTGTAAGAGAAGAAAAAGTTATTTTTAAATAAGTCATAGTGAGCTATGACCTACATTTGAAAAACTGAAGTTGGTGCTGATATCTCAAATTCTAGAAGAGTTGGTATAAATTTAATATTTTTTTCGAAATCACTTTGAAAAACTGCCATGAGAATGTGAAATTCCTATTTGAATATTTTCATGAATAAAGAAGTTACGGAGGAGACATGAAAATGATCAAAATCTGTTTTTTGCGTAAAAAACAAAAACGAATAGATTTTATCGGAATATTTTTGTTACATTATAGTTGGCCTTGACAAACTCCACATTTGGTGTAATTTAACCGACCTCGTATCTCTCACCGTTTAAAAGATACCCATGGTGAGCATGGTGAGTGGGACACACTGTATATTGTTAACAAGAAACTTGAAGCAGTATGTGGTATTAATAAAATTCACATCCATACCCTAATAGCTCGCAACGTCCTGGGGACTTCGTTATTTGGTACAATTCAAGTCCGGATGTCTTGGACCTAAAATAATTGTCATTGTGACGTCCCATCCTGCTGGACATCTCATCAAAAGTACGAGCAAGGACGTCCATGGAATGTCTCAGCTTGTACATCATTCCAAATATCTTAGAAATAGCATCCTTTAGATATCCAACGTGATACATATATTGTAGAGTGTCCATGCAATGATGTCCTTAGCATGTCCCTGATGGGATATAATTTTGAACCTTCCTTCAGAGACATCCATCGGATGTTTCAAGTAGTACATACTCTTGCATTATTTCAGATCTTATATTATCTCCCTTCTAGAACAACCATGAACTGTCCCTGACGGTACATTTCTTCAAATATCTCTGCACGGACGCCCTGAATATTTCTAGGATCGTATAACATTCAAAATGTCCCTTAGGGACATACATGAACTATTAGGACTTCAAAAGAAACTCCTATAGATGATCCATATGTTCATCTAGGTAATAAGTACAATAATATTCTTCAGGGAATATAATTTCAAGAGATGTCATGAGTACAACCTACATCCATCGTTGATATACATTGGCATCAGGACTTCAGATAGACATCTTATATAAATGTCCTTCACGCAAGCGAATGATCATTATTTTATTCCAATGTCCTAGAAATAACGTCCTTTGGACGTCCCAGTCGGTACGTTCAATATGGTGTCCTCGCGAGGACGTTACTGCCCGTCAATATTTTCAACTAAAGTCCATTGGACTTCCATAAGAGATTTCTTTGATGGGACCTCTTGGGAACCAACATTTTTCAGAATCTATTGGACACCTTCTATGCACCATCGACTCAACTGGATATCCTCATCAGCTATGCAAGATCTGGTCCTAGGGAGACCCGAATAAATTCAAATTCAAGAGTAATTCGATTGTCCCTGGTACATCCTATGGACATCTAATTAATATCCCTCAGCATTGCTGATAGGTTGTCCTACGGATGTCCTCGATAGTTTTTTTATTTATCCGAAGCAAACAAATAACATCGAAAGATCAGCGGAGTTTTTGCCGATAGATATTTTGAACAGCCTATACTCAGAAAATCCAAAATTTCAGGCAGTTATCATGCAGAAATAAGTACTATTTATGGAATATCTCTGGAACTGTGGGTTTTGGCAATAGGAAAGTTAATTATCAGAAGTATACAGGGTGTTTCAGATTTAAATGTACATACGACTACCGTCAAACCGAGATACAAGATGTTATCTTGATTTTGGCAAAATCTTCATCTGGTCATTATTTTTGAAGCACTCTGTATAATATATGCATACTCGGTAGAAATATTCCACTTATATTACCAATCTAAACTGAATGAAAATCAAGATCAGAATCCAGGTCCGTCTTAAGCGAAGACAGAAAATTTCTTTTATTTCAATGGCACTTTATGGCAGAATTTTGTGGATCTGTTTTGATATTTAGAGAGAGCGGGAAAAATTACTAAAGTGACATACTTCTCATTAGCCCGCATCCAATTTGGCAGATGATTTATAATTAGGTTTTTCAAATATTCAGCTCCATTTCGAGACATTTTTATTGAATTCGTAATCGAAAATCCAACTTTGATGCAATAAAATAATAGTCTTCAACTCCAAAGTTCAACATCATTGAAGGATTGAAGTCAAATTAGATGAACTATAGATAGACTTGTTCGTTCTACTAGATAACTTGTCAATGATTTTAGAAATTTTCGAGGGCTCATTTAATTCTTCACTATTCATTCATAAGCTGCGGTGAAGTAGGCTGTGCTTAAAGTTACCAATAATATCACACTAGTGATTATGAACAGTCAGAATATCAGAATTTAGTGCAAAGCCTACCTCATGAATCAATAGAGAAGAATAAAATGAGATCTCGAAAATTTCTAAAATCATAGACAAATCATTCTGTCAAACGAACTTTATCGATAGTTTACCTATTTCTACTTTAATGATGTTGAACTTCGAAGACCGTTATTAATTGTATGAAAATTGGATTTTTATTGCATAGATTTCGGGAAGATGTAATTCAATATTCTTCGTGGTATTAGCCAGGAAAGTTGTTGCTCTTTCCCCGAAATCTACCATCATTATTGTTCATTTTATGAATAACATTGTGTGGAAATGACTTGAAGCTTTTTGTATTTATTCAACATTTCATTCCACTTTGAGAATTGTGTCTATTTTGTAGTTGAAATTCGCCAGTCGGGCAACCGGCCACTCCCTTATGGGAATTTTGGTTTTGGAGTGTTTTTTTCCTTCTTTCCTACTCAAATGGCGTTGCTCTCATATGGAGGACGTCTCTGAGGAAATATAATACCAACTTGATTTTTGTTTGGCTAGGCCACGCTTAGTCGGCGGTCTTAGGACTGCTGGCTGGGCTGGAGACTGTTCTGCACTGATGAAAGTCAATGAGCTCAAAACCGGTCTGTAGGTGTCTAGCGTGGCGTTGCTAAATCGAAATCAATAGGCATTCAGAAGAGAATCACTTATATCAGTATTCGTTTATACGAGGCGATGCATAGATCTCGAGAGGATTAATAATTCAATGTTCTGTGTGGCATTAGCCAGGAAAGTAGTTGTTTCTCCCGAAATCTACCATTGTTGTTCATTTTATGAACTTTGTGTGGAAATGACAGAGCTTTTTGTATTTATTTTAAATTATCTCAGTTGGAATCTCCATGTTTCCTGTGGGAGACGTGTACACCCCTAATAGCACACAACGCCCTAGGGACGTCCCTATTTGGTATAATTCAAGTCTGAATGTCCCGGACTAAAAATAAATGTCCTTGGGACGTCCCATTCCGTACATCTCATGCAATGTCCGAGCAAGGACGCCCACGGAATGTGCCAGTAGGCACATCATTTCAAAAGTCCTAGAAATAGCACCCCTCAGACGTCCCACGGGGTACATATTGTAGAATGTCCATGCAAGGACGTCTTTGGCATGTCCCTGATGGCGTATGATTTTGAACGTTCCTTCAGGGACATCCATCGGATGTCCCGAGTAGTATACATATTGTTACGTTATTCGGGTGCAGAAGCAAACACGACACTATTTATTTTCGAACTGATTTATTTGAACTAAAGAAACACTAATTTATATCGAACTTATAACTACTATTTATGTAAAACGATTTATAACACGCGGTATATAACTGTCTCTCTGACACTCGCTGTTTGACTCCCCGACGGCAGTTATTCGGCCGTTTATACATGAGATAACTAGACCATATACGTATTAATAAACAATACGGATCATAACGGGTGCCAGGATGAAGCCAAAAATATGAAACAAATGAATATCCATAAGGATTTGGTGGCATGATACGCATGCGCCATGCGCTATTATGGTAGTCATCAAAGACATGCGTTTCGGTGGACAATGACGTTTACTAGCCTTTCAATCAAAGCAGTATGTGTCTGATCGTTTCACTACTTTTCCTCATGGATAGTCATTTGTCTTCAAAAATCGGCTTCATGTTTCGCTATGGAAACAGATAGAGATTATCCGTATTGGTTATTAATACGTATATGAACTAGACACGCTTTGGTTCGAGAACCTTCTCGAATGATCTTCCGTCTCCTTCTTTTTGTTCTAGAAGCTTCTTAGAACAAACCTCTCTCTCTAATTGTTCCATCGATTGTTTCCAGAACATTCCAGAATCTTCTGTGACGTTATCTGTCACCGCGGCATATATTGAGTGTTCGGAAATATGCTAGTGCATTGGGAGGTAGGAGAGCAATCTGGTATGCGTGATACAGGATGATCGTTGTACTCCTGCCTTCCTGCTGATGTTTCTAAAGCCCCTCCAAGGGGAATATCATTACACTATTTTGGCATGACTTCAGATCTTATATAATGTCCCTTCTCGACAACCATGAAATGTCTCTGATGGTACATTCCTTCAAATATCTCTGCATAGACGCCCTTAATATTTCCAGGATTGTATAACAATCGAAATGTCCCTTTGGGACATCCTTCGAATGTCCTTTAGGGATATCCGTCGGATGTCCTAATTGGTATATGAACTGTACTCTTCCAATGTCCTAGAAATAACGTCGATACTTTGTTGCTGTAATGTTGTCCCTGCGAGGACGTTAACTTACACCTCGCCGACGAATGAATGCTCGTAGACTATAGATACTCCACGTCAATGTCCTTCACGTAAGTCCATTGGACATCTTTGGGAAACTTTTTCAGTATCTATTGGGGACCTTCTACGGACCATCAACTCAACTGGATGTCCTCATCAGTTATGCAAGATCTGGTCCTAGAGGGACCCAGAAAAATTCAAATTGATATCCCTCAGCGTTGCTGATAGGTTGTCCTACGGATATCCTTAAGATGTCAGGAATACTGTAGGATATAGGTATTTGATAGTTGTCCCAGGGACATCCCTCAAGGACGTCCCTAGTTGGTCCTTAAGTGGGACATTTGTGCGCCCCACAGACGTCTAATGGACGTCCACGGTACAAATAAATTCGAACCTCCTATGGACGTCCTGAATGTCCCGACAGGACGTCCTAAGGATATCCATGGGACGTAATGATGTTATTAGGGACAGTAACAAATATATACCAGATGTAACCAAAATAATGTCTCTCCAGTACAGTTTCTTTTATTTATAATGCAATATTTTATGATATTTCGTTTCACAACTTCGTATTATTCTAGACAATGTCAATCATCAATTATTCCGAATAAAATCCTCCTTGACAACATAGAACTGCTAGATTCTCCACATTGGTGGTACAGGGTGATACAGAAACTAACATGAGTAAAATCGAAACAAACCTCTACATTTCCTTCACCGTTCCTACACATTTTCAGAATCATGCTACTTTCAGTTCTCGTTTATAGATATACATATTATTCTATATATAAAAAATCCAATATTTCAGCACTCCTCCTGGTATTTTTGGGGCACATTGGTGTTACTGCTGGAGCTCACAGACTTTGGGCACACAAATCTTACAAGGCTAATGGGGTCCTCAGACTGTTTCTTGTCGTTTGTCAAACCTTATCTGGCACAGTAAGTATCCATCACTTTTCGCATGTTCAGGTTTTTTTTTATACAGGATCATTCTGAAAAGATGGTGCCTTGAATAATTAGTTGTGTTCTATCGACCTAAAATATTCTCAGCGCTGCGACGTTGCCGCTTATATTGAAAAGTAGCAACAACTTCGATTTTCTCAATGGGACACCCTGTCATCCGTTTTCAGATTCTCCCTGAAGAGCTGATTTCATTGATCTATCACACTTGAGGTGTAGCGGGAACCATATAACTCCGATTAACTTAAAATTTGACAGGTGTTCATAATTTCGGGGACAATACATCATGGAATTTTTGTTGAAATTGAAAAAAATGACTGCTTCAAGATGGCGGACAAGATTTGGTCCGATTTCATTCAAAATTGGTAAGTGGTGGTTTTTGAGGTCGGAGATCATGATTTTTTTGTTAAAATTTATAAATCCAAGATGGTGGCTTCCAAATAATTTTTTGTTCTTGTATAAATGACGATAACTCCGTTGTTATCAACACAAAACTATTACTGCGGCATATCATCTGGAAGAGAAAAAGAAGTTATTTGTAACTAAGTCATAGTGAGCCATGACCTACATTTGAAAAACTAAAGTTGGTGCTGATATCTCAAATTCTAGAAGAATTGGTATAAATTTCATATTTTCTTCGAAATCACTTTGAAAAACTGCCATAAGAATGTGAAATTCCTATTTGAATATTTTCATAAATAATGAAGTTACGGAGGAGACATGAAAATGATCAAAATCTGTTTTTTGCGTATAAAACAAAAATGAATATATTTTATCAAAAATTTTTTTCACATTATAGTTGACCTTGACAAACTCCACATTTGGTGTCATTTAACCGACCTCGTATCTCTCACCGTTTAAAAGATACCAATGGTGAGCATGGTAAGTGGGACACACTGTATATCATGTTCAGCCCTGGAGTACAAAACTAAAACGAAATTCGACTTGGTTGTCAGAAAATTAACAGATCAAACGACTTACCTGTAGGAAGTTCGATCTTAATTTTTCGAGCAACTTCGTCGAACCTCATTTCGTTTGTGTAGTGTACAATTTTGTATACGGCCGGCACAGTTTTTATAGCATTCCAAAAAATCTACTGAATCACCTATGCTTATCAGCGTGCTTGTTCGTATCAATATGATTTTGGGATTTTCCAGCGATGTTTAGCTCAACGGGTGGGAGTGTATAGAGGTCCACATATGGGAGGGTTTTAATGAGGTTCGACGAAGTTGCTCGAAAAATTAAGATCGAACTTCCTACAGGTAAGTCGTTTGATCTGTTAATTTTTCTTCGCAACTTCGTCGAACCTCATTTCGTTTGTGTAGCTGTTCAAAGATGCCTCTATAGCTAAACATCGTGGGTATAAGTTCTGCAAACTGCAATGTACGGTGCATGTGCAATATCCTAGCAGAGAATGGTGGAATGATACGGGCTGCTGACTTGAAGAATAGTATAAAATAATAATAATAATGTACCTATAGTTTGTGCTTGACTTATTCTTGGAGTTGAAAAAAAATTTTTTCAAGCTACTGTTTCTTGAATTGTTGTCGATGCCCATAGCCAAGAATTCAAATATTTGATGAAGCAACGGGTTCTCAATAAATGAAGGGCCCCGTGCCCTGAGAACGCATACTATTATTTTCATTGAAAATTCCATGTACCAGAATGGTATATAAGGGTATGGCCAAAACATTTTTGTTTTTGACAACACCATAAATTAACTGGTTTTCAAAAAAAAAGAGGTTCCCCCCGAAAAATAGTATAAAATAATAATAATAATAATGTAGGTATATATGTATATATATACAATATATCTATTATTTACTTAATAATCAACACACAAAATAATAATATTCTCTAGAGTAATTTGACAAAATTCATAACAATGTAATAGTGTGAGTACCTAATACGAATTTGTGTTTTATTTTGATACTCAAAAGCTACTTTCCCTGTTGATTTCCCGCCAGTATTTTATTCGCGAAATCGCCTGGCTTCGCCATTAAGGGCCTGTTGTAAAATCTTGCTAATGTGTCCGATCCTTCTGTCCAGCCAGCCGTTTTGTAAATTGAATTTAAGCTCACACCATTTTGTAGGGCTGCTGAAGTGGCTGCATGCCGAACGCTGTGGTTTTCAAAAATGTTTGTGTCGATTCCACTTTTTTTAAGGACAGATTTGATCCATCTGCTTATAGTTTGGCTGCTTGCTGGACGGAAGGGTCTTTTATGAGTTATGAACAGATTTTTTGTTGTTCCACGAATTGATGAAGTTTTCATAATATAATACTTCAAAGTTGAAGCTACACACAGTTGCGGTTTCGATTTGAAGTATGGAAGTACTAAATTTGGTTGCATTCTATTGGGGCCCGAAGTTTTAGTTTTTTGAGAAATCCTCACTTCTATTTTTCCGTCGGTTTCTATTATGTTTTCTATAGATATTTTTGACAAGGTTTGAGCCCTTTGCGCTGTTGTCAAGGCAATTTTCGAGGCTAGTTTCCGAGTCAACTTTTCTTAATTCAAGGATGTGAGGGGGTATAATACTTCTAGATATAGTATATAACAAGTTGTGGGTCCCAAGTGACTGTATATCTTGGTTTTGGCGGATTTATGTTGTAGATTTCCTTAATAAATCTTTTCATCAATTTCTCAGGGTTTGAATTTAAGATTGAGTTGAGTGTTGATCGATATGAATTTAGCACCGAATAAGATGCACCAGAGTCTACTTGTGTTTTAAGGAAGTCTATGGTATAAAACCTTTTACTACTATATACTCCTACATTTTTCCCTGCACAGTATTCCCACCATTTCTTGTAGCAGACCTCGTATTGTTTGAGAGTGCTGTCTGAAATTGATGCAATTATGGTAGGAATGGCTTAATTCGGTGAGTTCTTTCTTATTCGAAATGCGTCCCCGATAACCTTCCTGCCACCAGGGTAAGTGATGTCCACAGTGGGTGTGGTTCTCAACATTTTCTCAAATAGGGGATACCAGGACTGGCTCTGCCATAGGGGAACTACTGAAATTCCAGTGCCTTTGCGTTCAATTATTTTCCGTAATACTTTTGGAATTACAGAAAATGGTGGGAAAGCGTAGAAAAATAAACTATGCCAATTCACCGTGAATGCGTCGATCGCAATCGAATATGGATCAGGTCGCCAAGATATGTACTTCTTACATTTGGCGTTAAGGTAGCTGGCAAAAATATCAATCTCTGGCTTTTCAAGTGATTTAATTATTTCTCCATAATTATGCTGTGCTAGAAAGTTCGTATTCCGTTTCTATCGATCGATTGCACGACTCTTCGTCAGCTACTATGTTCTTTTTGGACTCAATATAGGTGGCGAATGCGTATAGTTTATTTTCCTCGCAATGCTGCCAAATTAGACGAGTTTCATTGTTCAATAGTGGAAACCGGACACTGGCCTTGCGGTTAATGCAGGAAGTGGCTGTGATATTGTCTTTTTTTTTTTTTTTTTTTTTTAAGAATGAAGAATGTGGATATCAGTTAATCTTTGAGAAAAACACTTCAGGCAATACCAAGCTGCTTTGAGTTCTAGAATATTTATATGAAGACTACTCTCTTCTTCAGTCCAATAGTCGTATGTTATCTGTCCATTTGCGTATCCCCCCCCCAACCTGTTTTGGAGGCATCTGAATGAATTTCTATCTGATATTGTTTGGTGCCAAATGTTTGGAATGGTATGTTTTGCATCCATCAAGTAAAGTCTGTTTGAAAGTGTGAAGGGATGGACATTGAAGCTTCGTAATTTAAATTATTTCTAATGAGGGCTGCTTGTTTTTCCCTTTCAAAATGTTTAATATACAGCCATCCATATTTAACCGCAGGGCCGGCAGCCACTAACTGTCCTATGATTTTGGCAAAGTTGATGATTTTACAGGTTTTCATGTTTTTTTTATTTTATGTATACTTAACATCAAATTGCATTTCTTTTTATTCGGGAGTTTATGGTCATGTTCAACGTATTATATGTGGATCCTAAGAATTCACATATTTGGAAGGATTCAAAATGTTTTTTGTTTGTTTTAGATGTATGACAAACTGACATTTATCATACAGGGCGTGGAAAGAAATTCTGAATTGAGAAAAACCCAATCACGAATCTGCGATTGAAGGTCTATAAAAATAACAAGTTTCCATCGTTCAAGTTTGAACCCCTTGATTGGGTATGAAAGTATTGAAAAGGAATATTCTCAGATATATTATAAACATGAAAAAATGGATACATTTGAATAAATACATTGAGAATTCGCATTCTCTATGTGATGAAATTATTAATTCTTTCTCGGCATATTCAACAGAAAACAACTACTTTCCTGGCTATATGCCACGACGAACATTGAATTATATCAATTGAACATACACGATAGGAATTTGAGCATAAAATGAATATCGTCTGAAATTGAGAATTGACATTCTCTTCCAGAATCGGATGAATACTATGATGAATATAACGATATAAAAAATATATTACTTACCAAATTGGTATGAAAGAGATGTGCATATATCCCAAACATCATGGATACGGATGATTTTTGATAAATTCACGACTCAACAAGAACAGAGTATGTATACTAGTATATTTCTCCCATACATTCCAATTTTCATACCAATTTGGTAAGTAATATATTTTTTATATCGTTATATTCATCATAGTATTCATCCGATTCTGGAAGAGAATGTCAATTCTCAATTTCAGACGATATTCATTTTATGCTCAAATTCCTATCGTGTATGTTCAATTGATATAATTCAATGTTCGTCGTGGCATATAGCCAGGAAAGTAGTTGTTTTCTGTTGAATATGCCGAGAAAGAATTAATAATTTCATCACATAGAGAATGCGAATTCTCAATGTATTTATTCAAATGTATCCATTTTTTCATGTTTATAATATATCTGAGAATATTCCTTTTCAATGTTTTTTGTTTGATTTATAATGAATCCTAATGAACTTAGTACCGAACATGTTCGAAGTGTCTTTTACAGTACACAAGTATACTACCGATTTCAGTCCTTCCGATCTGAGTTTTTTAGGAACAGGTCGAAATATTTTCGTGAATACATGTGGTGCAACGCTGAGACCAAAAGGTAAAACTTTGAACTTCCATAGTGTATTATTGAAATTGAACTTCAGATACTTTCCGTGTGTTTTAGCTTTCGGTATGAAGAAATATGCGTCCTTGAGATCTATTTCAGCAAGGAAGTCATTTCTAGAGATAATGTATTGAGTTACCTTATGGTCTTCGAATTTGAAATGGGGAGCTGTGATAAAATTATTGAATTTTATTAAATTCAAAATGAATCTGTATTCTCCATTTTGCTTTTTCCGCAGGAAAAACGATGAAATGTATTCGCCTTGTTCGTGATTAAAACGTTAATTGTATGGCACCAATTTCTTGTAATTTATTGACGACTACCTTAAACTTGCTTAGATCGGACGGATTGATATTTGCATTGGGTACAACTCTTTGTGTTCGTTTAAGAGGTAATTTGTACCCTTTGACCCATCTTGTTATGCCAGGGTCATGATTTGTATGATATTTCCGAGCTTGAACGTGTTTTCTCAAGCTACCAGCGAATTTGATGCTTACTTTGTGATTATCTAACGTCGCTTGGCCCAATTTTTCTCCTCCCCTCTCTTTTTCACGCGAGTGTCCAGTGTTTTGTGACTTGGTTTGTATTTGCTGCCGTAATTCGAGGCTGGTTCCCGGAAATTTTGTTTGAGCGCCATGCCAGGGCTGCTAGGGGCTTGATAGTTTGTTGTAGTGGTACTAGTGGTGTGCCTGACTTTTTTAAAACCGGGCATGCTTAGTTCTTGCCCCACCCTTTCAACAGCTTGTGATGTTTTCAATGTTTCCTGTAATCAGTCATTCAGTGATGGCATTATGAGGTATCTGCGATGCAATGATAGAGACTGATAGGCCCCAGTGATGGCCTTGGCAGAATCAATCAATGAAGTTGAAAGTTGTGTCTTATTATTGATGTCTGCATCAGGATTTTGAATTATTTTATTCAAGGGATCTGAGAGGGCACTAGTCGCTATAGTAAGTGCTGCACGTGACTTAAAAATGTATCTTGTTTTATTACATTGCTTTTAAGGGCAGCTATCATTTCAGCATTTAATTTTGGAGGCCTTAATGACATACAATTTGATGGAGGCGGATATGCTTCAATGAGTTTTTGCCATTCGAGGGGTTTGTTGCTCCCCTGAAGGTTGAGGGGCCGAATGCTCTCGCCCTATCTCACGAGGTACACTCTCGTAGTCCATCACATCTGTAAATGCGGGACTCATTTATGGTACGAAACTCCCAAGTTATCTTGCCAGAACTTCTGTTAAAGCTCAGCTATGCACTTGTTTATAAATTTCAAATACATTTAAACACCTATACATATAAGGCATCTGTTAATGCCTAATTTATGATGATGTGAGACTGTCAATAAACTAGGCATCTGTTAATGCCTGATTTATGATGATGTGAGACTGTCAATAAATTTTAATTGCTTACCGTTTATTTCATTCTCACTTTCTTCGGATAACGATGATGAAGTTTCGAATTTTCTTTTCATTTTTTTTCCATTCTTTCTTCAGTTTAGCCAACTTTTGTGCCTTCCAACACTTTTTTAGAACCCTCGAGTCTTCCCTATCACTTGAACTTGAACTTGAATAAAAGGAAGCCATTCTCAGCTGATGTCACGAGAACAAAAGATTCAACGTTTAATTCGATGTGTACCGACCGCGGCACAAAATCATATTGATACGAACAAGCACGCTGATAAGCATAGGTGATTCAGTAGATTTTTTGGAATGCTATAAAAACTGTGCCGGCCGTATACAAAATTGTACACTACACAAACGAAATGAGGTTCGACGAAGTTGCGAAGAAAAATTAAAGAAGTATCAAACTCCTAGTTGAACTGGTACATATCATATCGTGTCGACCATACACGACCACCATAGCTGAAATTGTTTTGATTAGTCCAAAAATGTGAATGTGTCTTTTCCGAAAGTCATGGTTTTTTGAATTCTACCACCTATCATTTGTGTTGTGATATTTTTAGAATCAATAATAACCAGATCATTCCAAACATTTTTCATACGGAAGTTGATTTCGGCTGTAATGAGATTTGTAGTTTCAACTATATTTGGTTTTAGGAATGTAGCATTTTTTGTTGGTTGCATACGCATCGGTATCTATGTGTGTATATTGCACAATATAATCAACACTATTGACAGTTTTTTTCTACCTAGGTAAAATTTCTTTATGAAGTCATCATTATTCACCTAGGTTTAAAAAGTGGTACTTCTCATTGAAGGAAACCCTCGAATAATGGTGGCTTCCCAGTTTAGTGGTGGAAGAAAGTCCATTTTCTGCCTTGTTATATTCCGTTTGTCTATGAATATCAAATATATAATGGAGGAATTACTTCAAATTAAAATGGTATGAATGATCTTATTAGTAGAGTGTTTGTGCCGGTTCTGGCACATAACTTTAAAAGGCGGAGCTATGAGATAGGAGTGGCCTAAATTAATTTCTTGTTGAAATGAAACGACCCTGAGTTTACGGCTCCTCTACTGTGGCCTGGCATAGATAGATACTACCCATTGTTGAATATTATATCAAAATCGAAACGAATCCACCAGACTCACAATGGTATGGAAATATAAAATAACTGATGACTTTTTGGTTTCAAGGGTTCAATATACGATTGGGTCCATTGGCATAGGCTTCATCACAAACATTTTGGAACCGACCTCGACCCCTACAACCCCTCCAAAGGTTTTCTGTACTCCCAAATACAGAGTGTATCTCTGAATCTGAGTCCTGCCCAAGAAAGAGCACTCGAAGGGATCGATATGGAAGATCTCCGAAAGGATAAAATGGTAATGTTCCAGAAAAAGTGAGTAGATGGAAGGAAGACATGATCCCTTCAACACTTTTCATCAATTTTTTTCCAGATGGTACTTCTTGTTGTACGTTATAATAGTGCTGTTGCTTCCCATAAATGCCCCAGCTGAATATTGGGGAGAGAACTTATATTCATCCTTATTCTTAGTTGGATGGTTGAGGTGCGCCATCAATCTTCAGCTTGCATGGTTGATTCACAGTGCTACCAAAATTTGGGGGCTCAAGCCAGGAGAAAAGTGAGTAAATTCGATGATGTTTCAACATTGCCTACTCAAATTAAAAAGACAACAAGTGATATAGTATACGTGTTTGCGTAAATTTAACCCCGATGTCCCTGTAGTTAATCCAAACAGTATACCGGGTGACAACGGAGTAACTGACCAGGGCGTCATTCAGTTGTTTTTTTTTTTGGTTAGACATTAGATATCTTGATCTGGATCGAAGATATATCTTCTCACAACCCATATTTTTCATGATGAAACAATTGAATATCACATCCAGTTTTACCGGAAATAGATCTAACCCGAGAATATAAGAATTGTCATTTTTTGACGTTCGTAGAACATAGCTATCATTGCATCTAGTGCGCAAAATCCTACTTTGTTGAGACATGATTTTCTCTATAATCGTAAAAAATCTTTTTCAAAAATGAGTAATATGCTTAGATTAATATAAAAAATGGCTTTGAACTGTTTTGACATGTTTTCCAAATGAAGTAACCCCTGTTATTACTATTCTTGCTTTGAATACTACCATTCCACATGGAGTAGTATGGAATCCTTCACACTCTCAAGTAATCATTTTGCCTTAATTATATTGTTAAAATATTTAGAAATTGATGATTTCTTGGATTTTCACTTGACTAAGGACCAAAAAGATCGAATCTTTTATACAGTATCTTTCATAAACTTGGCATCATATGGGAAAAACTTTAAACAATTATTTATTCAGGAATTCGTTGTTCAGTTTGCCGTAGAAAATTTTAAAAATGGACTAATCGGTCGGAGTCACGTGACTTTCACTACATGCCAAAAGTTACATTATTTCAAATTATTCGCTGAAAATAGGCTTATTTGTCTGAATTTGATCAATAAATCGATCAGTCAATAGTTTCGTGGGAAAAACAGTTCCTATTCTAATTTAACAAATGTTTCTCGAATTTGAGAGTTGTACAACTTTTAGTTTTAGATAGTTCTTCAAGTTCTACGAAATTTCGTTGATAAATAAGAACTTTAACACTGACAAAAATATTTCATTTGACTAGTCTGATCATACTACTAATTTGCAATCACTAATATAGACAGAAATATGATTTTCTTCAGAAAATGATAATCCTCGCCTCAAATTTCTGTTATGTTTGATGCAAAGTTGATGTGCCTGTCATCCAAGAGCGGAATTCATTTGAATCGATTTATTCAGTACTAAAATGATGCCAAAATCATCTATCAAAATATCATTGAACTTGTTTACTAGTACCTGAAAACAAGGCGTGTCAAGCATTCATCAGTTAATACTGACTAGAAGTTCAATGATAATTTAAAGAAGTACCATTTCCTATATGAAATTTTGAAGAATATTCGAGTGAAACAATGTCAAAAAGTTTCGCATTTTCGCATGTTTCGTCAAAAACTAATCAAAACTGCTTAGTTTATCGAATATTTCATTAGGTCAACATATTGGTTTTAGAGAAATTGTTTCCTGCGCCACCATTTTGGAAATAAATGTCCGCTCGTGATATGAGGTAATGAAAACAATAAATCAATTAATCCAAGAGATCATCCTTAGGACTGGTAAGTCCCCACTGGAGTAATCAGATGGGGCCATCTGTCAGCTGAGTGGTTTACTTGTAGTACCACTTTGCAACATAAAGGTGTAGGGGCCTGCAAGTGTTGACTAGACTAGAGATATACAGATATACAGTATATGACGAAGGCACCCTCTACAGCATGTTATTGCATATGTGCAAGACTATTTTTTAAGTGACTCCAAATTATTCCGGATGACTGTAACAGAAAACTTATATCCATAACATACTGTATTTCTTACCTATAAAACTATTTTTAGCAGCAGTTCATGAAAATAAAAAACGATAATTTGAGAAATCACTTCTATTCATCAGCGTTGACACACATTCATTGATATACGAACACGGTAGAAATGTCATCTATTCTATCATTGTCAGTGATGACGACTCAGAGTTGATTCAAACAAGTATATATGGAATGTGTCATACTCTTTAATTACGCCAGTGACCCGATATACCTTAACTCAGTGGAAAACTGTAAATGACTAAGATATGTTGCAGATATGCAACAGGATGCATTGTAGAGTTAACATAAAAAACAATTAAATGACGTCCTGGCCAAGAGATATATCCAAGATGCTGTAAATCGTCAATTTTCAGTATTTCGTAAGGGGAACTCACTATCACTCTTTTCGACAGATACCCGTGTGACACGAACCTCGTGTTCATACTGAACAAGAGCAACTGGCTGTCCTACCACTACCTCGCCCCGTGGGACTACCAGACCAGCGAGTACGGCCAGTACGGCTCTGACACCGTCTCGCAGTTCATCAGGGTGTGCGCAGCGCTCGAGTGCGCAACTGACCTGCGCACTGTGGACAGCGCTACCGTACGCAGTGCGCTCACTATGTCCATGGTGGAGAACAGGCACATCACCAGCTGCCTGCAGGAGCTGTGCGAGAAACAGACTGGGGTGCCGATTGATCATTACTTGACCCCATCTAAATACTACTAGGTTTTTTTACTTGATTTTTCATTAAAGATTTGAAGCGTGTATCGGATTGTTTTTCCGGATTCTCAAATAAATCTATGTCTTTTTAATGTGTCCATCTTATTTTCATTGGAACGTTCCTCACCAATCATTGAAGATGAAAATAAACTGAGCTCGGATCCCCTTAGCTATACTACTACGACTAGTTACAAATTCCAGGTATTCTATTGCGTGAAATAGAAAGAAAACCACGTCTGAGTAACATATACTGATGAACTGATTCCATGAGATAGCGGGTGCACTTGGCACATCGACAATGAGTATGTTCTATGTTATCGAAACGATTCAGGAACGTCATCCAACTACGAAAATTTCATTCGGAGAAGGTTTCCACAGGGTCAGCCCAGGGTATTTTCATTCCCAGAAGCATCCTTTGGTCATCCTATGTTCATATGAAGGTTTCTCATCATTTTACGTCGTTGAATCACTTCTTAGAATCCTTGCCCCCAACTTGCAAGTAGTTGTGAAATAGAGAAATGATCATCAAACTCAAAATTCGCAGTGTTATAATTCTTATCATTGACATGGTCAAAAACAGGCACACTACGAGGCACCATCAAGAGATCATTACTTGACCCCATCTAAATACTACTACCACTTGTTACAGGGAATCCCGAAATTGTCAGCAAATATCCCAGGAGGTTTACTGCGTGAAATAAAAAGAAAACCACATCTGAGTAACAGACTGATGAACTGATTCCATAAGATAGCTGTTGCTCTTGAAACATCGACAATGAGTATGATCTGTGGTATCGAAACGATTCAGAAACGTCATCCAATTGAGAACATTTCATTCGGAGGAATTTTACACAGGGTCAGCCCAGGGTATTTTCATCCCCTTGACGTATCCATTGATTATCCTATGTTCATATGAAGTTTTCTTGTCATTTTACGCCGTAGAAGCACCTCTTAGAATATTTGTTCCCCACTTCGGGTCACTCCGTATGTGTGTTTTTTCTCATTCTGACGAGTAACCCTTTATGAATAGTACAGTACAGTACAGAAGAAAAGATACTGGCTAGCATATTTCGTGGGAAAATCAAAAAAGCTTGAAGCATCGTCATTGTGGAGCGTATATTTGATGATAAGCCACAATTGCAACTGAAGTTTTGAAAATACATTTCTAAATTCACCTTTTATTGCAAAGAAATTCACTTAGAATACCTAGGGATTTACTTGCGTATGTACCTACCTATATTCCCTATTCTTTACGAGATTCATGAATGGAAGTTGTTGTAAAATCTAGAAATAAATATTGAACTCAGAACACGCAATGCTTTAACCATGAAGATGGTGAAAACAGGCACATCAGCAGGTACAGGCAGGGGTACCTTCTGATCATTACTTAACTCCATCTAAATACTAGTAGGTAGTTCATTTTCACTTGTTTTTCCGGGTTTTTTTTATTATATCTAAGTACGTATGTTATTAATGTCAGTGAATCCCATTTTGCGCGCTTGTATATTCAGAGCGGGGGCAATAGATAACAACTGAGCTCGTATCCACATAGGTATACTACTTGAAGGGAATCCCTAAATTGATAGCAAATATTTCAGGAGGTCTAGTGGAACATTTGACCTCGCATATAGTTTTTGATCAGTATTATATCGAAAACATTGGTAATGAAGTATGGAAATTTTGCAGGGCAGATTTTATTTATTGTTCACCAGATCGCGCTACTGAAACGTGAGGTCAGAGTTGATAGAACTGATGAATTAATACTTCTTTTTTTCCCTGTCATTTGGTCTCTTTCTACGATGTCTTCCTCTCAGTCAATGTAAGAATTGGTCGTGTAGTTCCACATTGGGAGTAAAAAAATGGAAGTCTGCGTAAGTCTTTCCATAACTTGAGGTTTCCTGTCTGTTCAAATATTCTACATAATTTTTGAGAATATTTTTGATAAAACATGCCACAACCTTTAGGGTTATACGGAAAAAATTAGAAATTTTTGACATTGACCTCACGTTTTAGACTTTCTTTTTATTTTTCGCCACAGAGTCACTTCTTAATATATTTACTCTCAATTCGGATCACTCTTTATACATGTGTGTTTTTATTTCACGAGTAACCCAACCCCTTCTTGAAAAATCCTTACCTATCAATCTATATATTCACTATGTTTGCATGATTGGCTGTGATTGAAAAATCTAGAAATAAACATAACTAAAAATCCTATTTTGATATGAAAATTATATTTTTCAATATATTGGTATTACAATAAATATATAACCTGAATAAACTGATCACACATTGCACATTGTGATTCGAGCTGATATTTGCAATCTGATACAAATACATCATCTCCTAAAAACTAGTCTCAGTCTTGATCTTGACAGAAGCAACCGTCGCTTGAATTTTCCAGAATCCAGTCCAAGTATCTTGTAACCCTCGTGTATACTCCAGGATAACCTGGTCTGGCACAACCATTTCCCCAAGAAACTACCCCTGGAATATTATACATATGGATAAAAGAACTAGTGATGACTGCAACAATACATATATTGGACATACACGAAGAAACATAAGAATCAGGTTCAAAGAGCATATTGTATATTTTTCATTCCGACATATTCTTGATACTAGTTAGGTAACTCGTAATTTTGATGATTCAAAGTCCTTGTGAATGACTTGTATGAACAGGGTGTCCTACCTAAATGTGTCACACCCCTTTATCCTCGTAATTATTAATATATTTTGGCCATTCAAATACGTTTCTGGAATATTTCTGTACGAATTTTTTGAATTTGTGCTCACGTTTTCTCCATATCAACAGAATACAGGGTGGCTAAAGAGAAAAAAATTGTTTCAAATGAAATGATCTAAATTTTATTCGATAATAATATATGAATGATATCGAATATTGGGAAAAATACGGATCATTTCATTTTATTATTTTTTCTGAGCCACCCAGTAATTTGTTAATATAAAAGAGTAAGCACATTAGAAAATTATTCCAGAAAAGTTTATTCATGACCAAAATATATTGAGGATAACGAGGATGAAGGGGGGTGGCACATTTGAATGGGACACCCTCTACATATCTTTTTTTTCATGTTCTGGTTCCCACGAGAAGGGATATCCTGTAAACCTGTGATGTCAGAGAACATCATGATAACCAAGGGAAATAAGGTAGGAATTGGTGTTCTTCTTGAATTTCTGGAGGTTATATGCCTCGGGGAACCGACGGGTTAATCTCGCGGAGACTGCCCAGGGAGGAACAATTGTGGATATTTCAGAAGAGCATCGTCCATGGAAATATCTATAAAATAGAGCCATATCGTCAACTTTTCTACGGTGTTCCAAGGAAGTGAGTGAGTTTGTGAGCGAGACATCACCCACGAGACGAATTGCCCTTTTCTGGACAGAATCCAACAGCTTCAGGGTATGTTTGGGTGCTGCACTCCAAATATGGGAACAGTATTCCAGGACAGGTCGGATCTGTGCCATATAGATCATAAGCAGCGGACTGGAAGTGAAATAGCTCCTGGCACGAAACAGAAAACTGAAAGTTTTTGGGATGCACTTCTAGCAATTGATTTCACGTGATTTTGCCAAGAGAGGTTATTACTGGTAGTAATACCAAGCAGCGAAATGGATGTCTACATGGTTACTCCTGACAAGCTTGTTGGGCATAGTGAGATCGGCTTTTCTAGAGAAAAGGCATGCTTGTGTTTTGTTTGCATAGAAATCTATCAAGTTATTGGATCCCCATTCTAAAATTATTGCCAAGTCCATATTTATGTTGACAACATTTCTCCCTCGTTCGTTTCTGATTCGACTGGCTGGTATTGGAGCCCTGGAAGAGAAGGCGGTATGGAGGGTACTATCATCCGCGAAGCTGTGTACTGGACATGAAGTTGCTTCCAACAAATCGTTGATATGGAGTAGAAATAGTGCTAGAATTTATCCTTGCGGATCACCAGCATTTATGATAAGAGAGTCAGATGAAACTCCGTCGACCACTACATGGAGACACCTGTTTGAGGAAAAACTAGCTAGCAGAGAACATAGCTGGGGAGGCAAGCCATAAGATGGAAGCTTGGCGAGGAGTCCGTGGTGCCAGATTCGATCGAATGCCTTGGAGATATCAAGTGCTACGGCTAAGGTTTCACCATATCTTTCAATAGATTGCTGCCATATATGTGAGACGTAAGCGAGCAGGTCACCAGCAGATATCTGATGACGAAAGCCATATTGCCTCTCTCATATTTTATGAGCTCGATGTTGATAGCTTTCTGCATGATTTTTGAAATAATAGATAGCAGTGCGATCGGTCTTTTTGCCTTTTTTTGGAACTGGTTGTACTCTTGCAATTTTCCAGTTGGACGGGAATATCCTCAATTTGTAAGAGTAGTTGAACAAGTTACAAAGAACAGGTGTTAGTTCGGGAGCACATTTCTTGAGAACAATCGGAGGTATTCCGCCACAAGCTTTGTTTGTACGTTGAAGAAAGGTGATCTCGGGTATATGACTGTCAATTGACGTTATGTTTGGAGGTTGATTTCCCGATGAATCCAGATTGGAATTTCCATCAAATAAATGCGCAAAAATGTTGGCTTTCTCCTGGGCAGTTGTGGCTAGTGTTCCATCTTCCTTGGTAAGAGGAGGAAACGAGCTGGAAGTGAAGTTTCTTCCTACAGCTGTTGCGAAGGACCAAAATGAACGGGTTCCGTTAGGACATTCAACAAGTTTTGATCTTATTCATTCACAACAGGAATAGTTTCATGTTGTTCGGCCTTTTATGAACTTGTACATTACTCCATTCTTCATTTCTACATTACCTGCTAACTCCAAAATATCTATATTATACTGTTTTCAAGACTCACCTATCAACTCATATCTACCATCTGCCTTTTTCGTTATCAGAGGTCCACCACTATCTCCCTGAAAAAAAAAACAGTTTCGAAATGAAGTGCCTTCGAAATTGTAACGGTTGAGGAAAATTATTTTTCTGCTATTATTTTTTTGATGGCTTTGTATTTGGCCACAATTTTTTTTTTAAGAGAGCTAACATTTATTGTCCACCACATCGCGCCAATGAAACATGAGGTCAGAATTGGTAGAACTGATATATATATAAATATACTTCTTCTTTTTGTTTTTTTTTTTTATTTATGATACGAATGATTTTTTTGGAAGTTCCAAGCTCATCAAGATCAGAGTTCATAAAAGTGTACTTCTCCTATAAATTTCAATTTTCATTTCGATACTGAACATATTGGTAAGTTATATTTTTATATCATAATATATGATATTATTCTATTCCATTTGAGAGATGATGACAATTCTCAATTACAGAGGATTTTGATTTTTCATGCTCTCTTTTGGATATATTCAACAGATATAATTCAATGTTCGACGTGGCAAATAGCCAGGAAAGTAGTTGTTTTCTGTTGAATATTCAGAATGATATCTTTATATGAAGGAGAATGCAAATTCTCTACTTCAGAAGATTTTGTTTTCAAATTCTTATCGGGTGTGTTCAATAGATATTCGTCGTGGCATATTGCCAGGAAAGTAGATGTTTTCTGTTGAATAAACCGAGAAAGAATTAATATTTTCATCACATGGCGAATGCGAATTCTCAATGTAAGTACATATTTCTTTATTTATATATCCATTTTTTCGTGTTCATAACATAAAGATATCTGAGAATATTCTTTTTCTATACTTCTTCTTTTCCTGACAGTTTGGCCTCTTCCTACGATATCATCTTCTCCGTCAATGCAGAGATTATACACTGGCCAATGTATGAGTTGGTCGTAAAGTTCTACATTGAGAGTGTAAAAACGTAAATCTGCTCAAGTTTTTCCATAACTTTAGGTGTTATTTTTGTTCGAATATTCTACATACTTTCACTTGTAATACCACTAGAGGTCAAATTATTTCTGGAAATTTTTTCGATCTCATGGATATTTTGAAAATTATTCTGAGTCGAAGACTAGATCCGTGGATTTTTGATGAAGGTCAGTATGTCCGTTCACCTTAGTAATTTGATCTTCTTGTTGAAGCGTACCAGAGATTTCGAATTTTAGCCTCCCAGGTAGTGGTGACATTCATTATAATAGATGCAGGTGGAACATCAATGCATTATTTTAGCCTATTAATTGTTGATTTCTACCCAATTGAAGTGGTACAAAATCACTATTTCAGGACGTCAAAATATTATTCTGTCATTGAAATGTCATAAAAAATCTCCGATTCCATACGCTGGTGAGTAGACGGAAAAAAATGTTTTGTTGCACCAACAAAATAATTTTGGTATTTTTTTTTTGTTAAATGAAACACAATTTTGCAAAATCAACAAAATATATGTTCATTTCAAATGAGCAATCTATTCAAAGAGACAAAATAATTTGATTGAAATATTTGCTTACTTGAACAAAAGTTTCATTTCATTCAACTACATTCATAGTTGACATAAAATAAATTTTGTTGATCCAACTGTCATCTCATTGTTCAATCAATCATATGCATTTCGTCTATTCGACAAAATTAAATTAATTTTGACAAAGATTTAACTAAATACAGCATCATATTTTGTTTAGTCAACAATCATTTCATTGTGCAACCAATCAAAGGTTTTTTCTATTCGACAAAATTGAATTGATTATGACAACATTATATTTTGTTGATTCAACACATCACTATCAAGAAATATGTTGTTATTTCAAACAAATTACTTTGTTGAAAAGAACCCACAAATACATTATATCAAATAAATATTTTGTTAAATGATTATATAGTTGCATTTTTGCCACCAGGTGGCGTTTCTTCCAACCTTCCTACGCTCGCCTCGATTGAAGTGTACATATATCTACCTAAAACATCCGTTTATATAATTTCACTAGGCTTTCCTAGGATTTCTTATGACGCCTATTCAAGCTTATATAGTCTTGAATTAACTAAAAGGAAATTGATCTCTAATTCCTCTTAGTTTTGAAATTCAGTTATTGGATTTTTCAAAATATTATTCAGCAAAATATTTTGTCAATTCTAAATACAATTTGGTTGATCGAACAAAATAATTTTGTTATTTTAACATATTCAGTCTCTGAAAAACTGAAAATTTTGTCACTTGAATGAAATGATGTAATCATTTCAATCAACTGAATCGTTCATAAGAGCAGGTATTGTATTATAGGAACAAAATAGTCTTTGTTCATGAACCAATTCCTGCTGTTAATTTGAATCATAAATAAGTTACATCAAATGAATTTTGAATTGAAAACTGACATAAAACATTTGTTGCGGTGACAAAATATTTTGTCGTGGATATATGACACTCAGATCTTGTTGAATTTACAAACATTTTTTAGTTTCAATAATTTTTTTTTCTGTGTACCGACGAGAAAAAAAATCCACTAAAATACATACGTTGCAATGGTAATTTGACGTAAAAACCCAATATAACTGTATGAAGATCACTGGTGTGGAATTTTCAGTTATAATATCACGAGAGCTTAAATCATTTCCAGAAATTTTTTCGAGAACACGAATTTTCTAAATATTCGTGTTCGAGAAAAAATTCCCGGATATTAATTGAAGCTGAAGTGGTATTCGGCAAGAAAATTTCACACTGAAATATCATTAAAAAATTACATGGATAATGACGATTTTTGATGGTTTTGATATTTGAATAGTAGGCTTTGTATGTTAACAATAACATATTTTTCTATGACTGTTGAAAACTAGACCCTTTTAATGTAACATTTTTGTTGGGTAACTGGATGCATTACACAAAACAAGCCACGCCCCGTGTGTAAGAGCCTTTACACAACAGGCTATGGCCAATCAGCAACAAAGCAGATTCATTACCTACAAAACAGTTGACACCAGTTGTAATGATAATATGGGGCATGCAGTGAAACGTTTGAATCAGACTCGTCATGAAATGTCATAATTTGACAATAGCTATCTGGCGTGATTTAGAACTGACTTTTTGTACAAATATGGATTCAGAAAGCGAAAATGAATTCAACTGCTCTCCACCATCAGAAGTTTCGAAAGCTGCCAATTCAAGTACAATCAGCCTTTTGCCCGAGGAATCTAAAAAAAGGTATGAAGTGGTTTGGCGAAAAGCAAAACTTGCAAATTCGTTTTCGGATAATGTACTTCTAGCCTATTTTGGCGAATTAGCAGCTAAACACAAAGCATCCTCCTTGTGGTCACAGTATTCCATGCATATACTAAGAAGCACAATTTCAATGGAAAATTATGTGAATATTGACAAATATTTGAAATTACGAGCATTTCTAAAAAGGAAATCTGATGGATATATGTCAAAGAAAGCGAAGATATTCACTGCTGATGAACTCAACCAGTTCATCACTCAGTCATAGAAAAAGTATAGTATTCTACTTGCGTGTAATGGCTATTACTCATTCGAATGATTACGACGTTCGCCTGCGGCTCACGTCGCAAACTTCACTCTCATGAGTAATGGCCATCATTACACGCTCGTCGAATAATATACTATTATTTATCGACTTATAGAATGAACTCGAAATAATCTGAAGTTGAATGTAAATGTCATTTAACCTATAAACGTCAAAAAATTCCCAGTTTAATTTCATACTCCGTCTCCCAAGGAGGAAGAAAAAGTTTCCAAGAAGTTTGTTTAGTTACTTATGGTGACGATACGAAATACAGGCTTTGAATTGATCGACATGTTTGGTGTGAAATTTTCTTAGGAATATTCTTGCCTTTGGGGGCTATCTGGCAAAATTTTGGGATTTTTGACTTTGACATTGACATGACCTCACGTTTTAGTAGCGCCAACTGTTGAGAGTGAAAATGTTAGCCCTCATTATGTTGATGTGTGTATAACCTAGATTTCTTCTGAGACTACCTACCTGACAAGAATCCTTCTTTCCTTCTTCTGGATATCCTGCGCACAACATATTGTCAGATATCATTTTGGCTGTGTAGTTAGTACTACGGCACACCTCATTGGTCAGCACAGGCACTTCAACCTTCTGAAGGATGCAGGTAGGCTTACCCTCCTCTTTGAGGGTTCCCCAACCTGATGCTGTTGCTATGGCTCCATGGTACAGCATATCTTGAAAATAAATTCGTGAATTCAAGATCAGAATGAGGCCCTTCATGAAAATAGAGTAGATGCACCAAAGTGTACTATGATTTTCCGACGTCTACACTAATCTGCTGAGTATCTTCCGAGGCCAAAAGGTTCCACTGCGTTTGAACTCTGAAGCAATCATGCAGCTATGAATCATTATAGAGAGGTCAAGGAAGTTCAGACCTTTTGGCCTCAGGTCAAACATGGAACGAAACTGCTGAAGTATACATCAATATTAGGGGTATGCTGAGATTAGTCACTGGATAGTTAGTGCCGGTTTAAGGTGATTTGCCGCATAGTGATCTGATGAACGCGCCGCCATTCAGACTCAAAAATATTCCTAATCTTCCAGGTCTTTGGATTTTTTCCACACATTTTCGAAGTGATAATATATTCTATAGGCACGTTGAACGTTCTCTGGGATGGGAGTAAAACGGCAAACTCGCGTCCCGGGTGCCGCGTAACATAAGACTTACCTATACCATAGAAGTTCTACGCACACCAGTTTTTTTTTATAGGAGTTTCATGAACAAAATGAAAAATATAATATTACAAACAGGATGTTGTGGAATGAAATTAAAAACATTCAATTCTTTATTGTTCACATAATGAATATCAAGGAAAATTAATAGGTATATGTAAGAATAAAAAAGGATAATCAAATGATAATATGCAAGTGCGTGACTAGAAACATGAATTATCAATACAAAAATGTGATTTCTTGCTTCAATGCAAGCCTTTATGTATGATACTCTTCACAAGCTCTACACATTAGTTTCGTTCAGTAGATCTTGTTTGAGTTGAGACAAAATTGTTAGCTCAAAAATTTCGGAAACAAATATTCATATTGGGAAAAGAAGATATTATATTACATTATTCTCGTGTAGAACTTGGACTAATTCCATAATAGGAGTTTCTACTTTAGTTTCTAGGACATTCGTCTGAAAAAAAATTGTCCAGGTCCTCTACATACTTTTTTTGTAGTTTAGTTGCCAATTTGATTAAATATCCATCCTCTGCTGACAATGATTCTGAACAAGATTTATTTGTACGTGGAAGTCCGATGGAAAGTTTCAAATCTGCAACTCAAAATAAAACACTGTGTCCGCCATTTTTCTCTTTGGTTCGAACTTTTTGTCGTATTTTTTCTCCTAATTGTGCTTTTCTTGGGATGATTCACTTTTTAACATAAATATCAGTTTAGGTAGTGTAGTGATCAAATCTTTCGCTTAAGACTGATGACAAGAGATGTGCAGTTGTATTTTCATATAGTCGCCCTGAAGATTTTGCCGCCTGGTCCTATAGCACTCAAAAGACCCCTGGTAAAACCGGCACTGTGGATAGTATCAGTAGATAAGATAAAAGATTCGGACAAAGCTAAACTTTTGTCGTTTTCTATTTTCTGTATAACAATGATTTGAGTGAATAAAAGAAGACATATATTCTGCTCTTTGTCTTTTCTTTTAGAAAATATAAATTGGGAATAAACACCTACTTCAATTCATAGCGATACATTGAAAAGAATACTCTTCTACTCTTTCTCCATGATAGTTTTGCCTTGCATTTCGTGTGATGATATAATGGGTTCTCTTTTCAAATATAGTCTGTTTTCTAAATGGATTGAACAGCAAATTCTCTCAAACGGATCCTAAAATCTTACTTTGATAACTACGAATAATAGCTGATAATCAATATTTTCACGGATTACACTGATTGACCTGATCGCCATAATAGACAACCTCGTAGACAACAATCAAATTAGCTGGAATTGAATTGACTTCTCACAGTTGACGAGGTAACTTTGCCGTAGAAAAAAATAGTACCCCCTTGTATCCATCAAAACGGCTAACATGTCCCTATCTTAACTTTCGATTCACTATCTACTGACATACCAGATACAGGGTGATCAGAATTCTGAATCTTGAAGCACCCTGTACTTTTTTCAATTAAATTCCAGTAGATACTGAATCAAAAGTTGAGATAGGGACATGTTAGCCGAAAAAATCCTAAAATTGAAAAATCTCGATTTTGAACACCCTATATCTCTGTAATCATTCCTGCTAGACCCCAAGTGTGATGCATTGATGAAATCAGCTATTCAGAAAGAATCTGAAAATGCAATAAAATACAGGGTGTTCCATTTGAAATAACAAAGTTGCTAGTTGTTTCTGATACAAGTGGCAACACTGTATCGATGAAAATATTTAAGACGGATAGAAAATGTTCAATTATCGAAACATTTCAATTTTCAGAATGTTATGTCTTTTCGTTCTCCAGATACTTCTAATAGGCCATCCACTGTGGATCACCCTGTATAGGTTATAGTTTATAGAATTCTTTTTCGATTCAGTGAGCCGATATATAGGCAATATAATACTTTGTTCCTCTGATATCATGGTGATGAACGTCTGATTGCGTTGTTAATATTGGAGATTTTTTCTTAATATCATTAACCGTGTTCCAGATGAAAAGTGACAGGAGAGTGAATATTTTTAATTTCTTGAAAAGAGGTCGGCAGGATTCTCTATAATTTGCATTGCTCAAGATCCTTTTATGGCATTTTTTTGCTGTCTGAAGACAATAGAAGCTGCCGATGAGTTACCCCACAGTAAAATTCCGTAATTGAGGTGGGACTGAATTAAGGAGAAATATACCGTTCTGAGAGTAGTAGTGTTAGTGATGCGTCTTAGTTGTCGCAAATTGAAAAGTGAGCTAGATAGTTTCATATTCAGTTGCCTAACGTGAGCCGACCAATGGGCGTGTACACACCTTAGAAGAACTTTCAAACCATGTTTATAATGATCCTTTTATACATAAATAATGATTGACGACATAATTCGATCGAAAAATTAACTGGAATGTTTTATTTTTGGACATAAACAATAGTACCTCCTGAAAACGCACCCTCTTATGACGTAGAAACCTCATCTCGCCATAGTTAAAAGAAAATACCAAACGCCCGACGGAGACTGAGGCAACTGATATATCAATTCTTTCAACTGTGATCTCGCGCTAATTCACTCTGTCAGAAAATCATGTATCATTCATCTCTGTCTGGAATAGTCTCGTTTCAGTATTAGGGTTTTGACGTCGCATCATCGCCTCGTTTTCAGAGGTCCGAAAAATCGGGGATTTCAATAATTTTTTATAAAACGTAGGGAGCTCACAGCAAGGAACGGTTTGCGGTGGTGAGCTAGTTTGGGAGAGCTCTATCGTATTATGAAATAATTTTTTTTTGTGATATAAGACCATTGAGCGTCAGGCCAGGGCACTAGATGGAGTAGGCCCTGGTCAGGCCCAATAGATTTACTTCTTCCTCTTCTTGTAAGGACGTGGTAGTAGTGATGAGTTTCTGAGTTTTTTCGTTGTTTAGTTTCAGTTTGTTGGCGATAAACCAAAGGTCGGCTTTCCCCTCTACTTCGTCAGGAAGAGAATTTAGATAGTCATATTCTTCATGAGAATAAATCAATGTTGTGTCATCTGCGAATTGTTGATCAACTCACCTTTATTTTTTGGTAGACAAATAGGTTTGATGAACTGCGTTATTGGTACTCTGTCGTTCAGCCTCAGGAGGGCAATGTCGTTATCAAAGTTGAGGAAGCTGAAAGCTCCTGCTATAGCTCTCAACACAAACCTAGATTCCGGCTGTTTTTTGTCGTTGCATCTGTCATGTTCACCGAAAGACACTCTGATCATGAACCACATGAACCTGAAATGGTGTACAAGGTCATATTTGTTATATTTTGACACCAAGCTACAACCGCGTTAAAAAACTCTGAATGAAACAAGTTGTAGGGTGTATTATCGAAGGTAATACCACGAGTCCTTCAAATACCATCCATAATTTTTCAAATTTTCTACAGAAACTTCATTTGGCAAAAATATGAAAACAAACCGATTGATAAAATTACCCTGTAACAATTTGAAGCAACGTATTATACATTTTTTGGAATCACCTCAGCAAGGGAAATCCGGGGATTTAAAAAAAGGGGGGGTTCCATAAAAAAAATGTGATGACGTCATTACACGAAGGTGGTTCACCCTATATATTAGATTAGGATTTGAAACAATTGTGAATTATTAGAAAAAATCGACCTGCATGTTTCGGGAATTTCTAGTTTTATTGTTTATTCAGCTAATGATGAATTTTTGCAATACTTTGTGGACGCACTGCATAACCTACCATAATTCACTCTTTTTCAAGGCGTCAAGGTAGTTCTCGTCAATTTATGAACTACTAGTCAATAAAGACAGCCACCTCGATACGAGATTCGCAGGAATGGCACTCGAAACGTAGGTATCTATCAATAACGACTTCATATTATTATGTCATGGTCATGGCTACTAGATTTTTATTAGAATTGAGCAGAATTGTTTTCATAGTGACAATAGGACAGAACTATAACAATATTGTTTCGCACCCCTTCGTGGTCACTTTGGACACCTGCAGAACATCTCTTTCCAAAGACTCGTTCATCCAACGAACAGCGAGTCTCTGGAACACATTGTCAAGGGAGGTGTTCCTCGAGGCATATAACCTCCAGAAATTTAAGAAGAACACCAATTCCTACCTTATTTCCCTTGGTTCTCACGATGTTCTCTGAACATTACAGGATATCCGTTTTCGTGAGAACCAGAACATAAAAAAACTTGCTAGTGGCAAAGAAAACCACACTGGACATTATACCACTCGGCTGAGGCCTCTCTGTATATAATCTTGGTCCCTGGGTATCTAATAATGATCTTCACGACCTTGGTGTATATAAATAACTAATAGGTATTACTTTTTTTTAGAACTCACTTCTATACAGGGTGTTTCATGATTGAATGTCAATTTTCGAGGAGGCGATTCTTGGGCCCATTCTGAGAAGACAGTTTTATATGAACGTAAGACCTATAAACGTAATAACTTTAGAGATACAGGGTGGTTAAGTTCTCAAAAATTAATATAGCCTACTACAATGAGAAGTTATAATTCCAAAATACCGAATACGAATACGAAGTTCATAAACTATGGATTGTATTTCTGAAATTTGATCTAAAAATAAAATCTATTTGTCTCCATCGTGATATTGTCATATATAAACGGTATGGCTATAATCATAAAAATGAAATTGAAAAGGTAGAGAAGAAATTCTTAAGATTTCTGTATTACAAAAAACATGGTAAATATATTTTTAATCTCTCACTTGAGTGAATTCAAATTCACAACTTTAGAATTTAGAGGAAAAGTTGCTATTATATTATTTTTCTTTAAGCTACTGCATAATGGAGTAGATAATCCACAATTTTTGACACAGATTTGCCTGAACTGCAGTACATATTTTAATGATAGAGGAAGAGATATATTTGTTTTGCTTAAACCTCGAACCAACCTAGGTTAAAATTCCCCACTATACAATATAAGTTCTCTTGCAAATTGTTTGAGGAATATAGATTTCTATGTTAAATGCAATGTGAAAACGTTTAGAAAAAAAATTGAAATTGAGATATCATTCTTAGAAGTAAATGAGAATTGTAACTGAAAGCCAATTTAAATGAAAAAGGTCCATTTGTCAATTTCAACTAAATGTGTCTCTCGATTTGATTTGGACTCAGGTCATTTGGAGTTAATTTACTTTAAGGCATCGTATTATTTTGAGAGTGGTGATTTACTTAGTTTCAATATTGTAATCGATTATTGGAACTGCCTGTTCTGTAGATTACTTAATAAATAAAAAAAATCTGTTTATTCTTTTAAGCGAAAACCGTGCATCAGATTGAAAACATTTTGTGGTGATCAAATTTGCTTAGAAATGATTGGGAATTTCAGGAATGATTTCAATTTCGCGATTTAGCAGTGGCGTACCATCAATGTCTGCCAAAATAGGTATGTGAAATTCTATACGAACGCCACTGGTGACAACCTTAGAAAGGGCACAAGGATCGCCTCCCCAAATACTGACATTCAATTATGAAACACCCTGTACATAACAAAAATTCGAAACTATTCGACCTTTTGCATCTGTAACTTGATCAATAATATGCATATCAATGGATTATCGACGTTACCCCCAATGAATATCGAATGTAATATTGATATTTAATGACAGGCGTTTTCTACTTCCTAACTCAAAAAATGGACAAGTGGTATGAAATCGAATGTAAAAGTGGCAATGACATTCTCTCGTCACCATCACGATCATCACCATCGTGATTTTCATAACAGCTTTTCTGGTCTACATAAAGAAAAAAACTCGCTGCGGCCTAACCACTAACCAGTTCTCTTCCAGTGCAAGTCAAGTTCATGACCACATCAGCAGACGAATTTATTGTTGTTGTGGTCGAGTTGGCGAATTTTTATCGCTTTCGAGGAATTACCGGAGAAATTCACGACCTTGTCAAAATTCTTCGCAGCAGAATTTCCGATGTAGAGTAGGTTAACACTTTCTGTTTCGCTAAATATGGTTTCACGCAGTTAGTGAAACTTTTACCATATCGACTATTATCGATGACATTATCAGATAAAACATAATGTCAGAGATAACATATAAAGTTAGTGATGAGAATACAACAGGGACGGATCCAGACGATGTTTGAAGGGGGGCATAGGAAGTCACGGCTAATTGATTATAGCAAAAAAGGAAGGAATTTTCATTCACTGATAAAAATACCCGATTGGTGACAAAAGAATGATGCTTTTAGATTCTTTTCTCTCCTGACAAAGACAATTTCTTCCTTTCAAATACATTGCTCTTATCTGCAGATTATTGCTGTTCTTGTAATAAGGTTTTGAATCTTTTGGCTGTAAATGCTTTTGAGAGAACATCATCGACCTTGTCTCTAGTCCTGCTTGGTTTGCATCTACCTCAAGATCACAAGACTTTGATACAAGATCTGAAATCGTTCGGTTGAGACCGTTGATGAGATCGAGTCCAGCCGAGGTTAACCGAAAACATACCGACTCCGTTTGAGTCATGCGCAATGCATGGGTCGACCCCATCTTCCAATCATCCTTCTCCTTCTGCATCGTGCCGAGTAGCGAGTATCGTCCCGTTGCCAATGCATTTTAGCGGCCATATCTGTCGTGTTGCGTTGTGCTGTGGATCATGAGCGATTCAGTGGAGTTTGAAAAACTTCTAGATGCGTGGCGTTTGAGCCATATGATGCAAACATTTCAAGGTAAGTACCCACCTATACTTATTTCAGTAGATAGGTATTTCATCATCATATAAAATGTTTCATGTTTTATTTTATAGAATAAATGAGTTTTTTATCAATGATTGTTATTTCAGAATTTCCGCAATTCTTCGCCCAAGGATACATAAGAAGCTAAAACAAGTTGATGGGATCAGAACTAAATCTAATATCAACAAACCAATAATGGGGTTTTGTTAAGGATTCATAATAAAATGATCCTCAAAATTTCTATAGAAATCAATTGAAATTCTAATTATTATTTCAACATTTTACAGGAGTCTCCTCTCAAGAAATCTCCAGAGAATTTGCATCAAGATCATATACATTTTGTTCCAAGACCATAAGATATTGGATCAAACATTTGCTGTATTTACAGCGAAGCCCTATATTTCAATACAATAATACCATATCTTTCATCTTGAATCTCATAACTTTGAAATGATATCTTAATGATTTTGACCAAAAATCATTGTTCATTATGATAAGTTCAGGGTATTTTGCTATAAACTCATATATCATTGGGCTAAAGAAATCATGAAACTTACCTCAACATTCCCCATAAGTTGGGAAAACTACGATTTTAAGCCAAAATCATTAGTTATTAGGGCAGAACCAAAGTTTCTTGTCTCGAATTTATATAATTTCATGCTAAAGAAACTTAGGCGCTTGCCTCAAAGTTTTTGGAATATTGGGTCGAAATGTCCATGCATTCCGCCCTATTCAAATGCTTGGCGCCCTTGAGGTAAAGTCAAATTCCTTCAATCCAAGGAATCCTTTTTATCAGTGATTGGTGCCTTCTTAAAAAAAATAGTTTTTTGGAAAATTGATTGTAGTAAACATATTCAGTTTTCTTTCAAGTATCCAAATTTCAATTAAAAAAAAAACAACTTAAAAATATTCGATATATTTCATGAATATACATGCTAACTGATAGAAACCGCCTAAAACCATATAGCGCCTTTACTATCGGATGCCCAATGTCCTATATGTAGTACACCTATGCTGGCCCTATTTTTTTCAACACTAGCGCCATATTTTTATACATAGCAAGACTATGCATTCATTCATCACATACAATGATTATGGACAAGTCAAAAATATTCACAGACTCGCTTGATTTGTGATCAACAACAGTTTGAAGTAGGGTTATTTCAGCACATTGATAATTCGAATGTACGCTTTTCTTTGTGAGATATTTCTTCATTTAGGTAAATAACATATGTTTCACATGTCGTATCATCGTTTTGAGCATTCATGATATTTGATTTTCATATCTCGGGTTTATTGTTGCCGTCCTACATATAGGACATTAGGCAGCTATATGAACTTTTCTCATTTGATAGATGTTTTTCCTTCTATGAAGCAATCGCTATATTAGAAGAATCTGATGAAGGAAAGATGCATGCAATTCAGGATATAACCAATCCTCCAATCAACGCAACTACTGAGTTGACAGATGACGATTCGGGCGAGAACACTTCTCAATAAAAAAGATGCCAGGATGCCAGGATCTGAACTTCGTGCTCCAATTGAGTTCTTGAGTTGGATTTTTGTCGCAATGAAGGTCAGGTCGGTGTTGTTGAAAGTTCAGCTTCAGAGGGTGAAAGTGGCATTATTTGAGGTAAAGAAATGATAGAGGAAGAGTAGAAGAAATTCAAGGAAGTGAATGAAAAAAAAAAATGATAATGAACAATTAGTAGAAAAAGATCTGCCCACTATAAAATGCTATTGATAATGAGGAAGAAATAAAAAACCTGTTGGCCCACTGGAATTATTCTCAAAATTTTTCGACAAACCTATTCTGGAACTGATGATGCGTGAAACCATAACAAGTATATTCAGCAAAAAAATAAATGAGGAAAGATCTAAATATCTGAGATGAAAAGCCTTATCGCGCCTTATCGGACACTTGATTCTCAGTTGATATAGAAAGAGATGGAAAAATGGGTTAGTAACGGAGACCATCTACAGAGACAGAATGATAAGAGAATGATAGAAGATATCACTGACTTGATGATTTAGTGATTCCACATGTCAACCAAACTCGATGTGTCTTGTTCTATCAAAAAACTACTACGAGGTGCTCAAATACTGACGTTGGACTCCATACAAAGTGTTTTATCATGTATTATCAAAAAATATAACCGGTTTCAATTATTGTCATCTCTATGTGCCTTATGTAATAAATGTAGGACGGTCAGATTGTTTAATCTCTCAATGAACAAAAATTATAAAATCCATACACATTCATCCTCTGATGCATGCCAAAATTGTATGTCTTGGCAACTGAGCATCTGTTTTTTATTTCAACTAATTCTGTTCAACAGTCAACTCGTCATACATTACTGTATTCCGAAAAAAATCTAAATCAGCGAAAGAAATAAAAAAACTTATTATTCACTGCGATATAATGAGAAAAAGTTGGCTCTGGCTGACGTTATACTGTTAAAATTTGAAGAATATAATTATCATCAAATCTTTATAATTATCTGATGAGTATCTTCATTAAGAGCTGCGCTATGACTTGATATTGGATGAAAAAAGTGAAAGGAAAGTTCGTTCAAAATTACTTCTACTCTATATACAGGGTGTATCTGAATAACATCGAATATATTCAAGGGGCGTTTTCTTGTGATAATCTAGCAAATGATGTTCACTAAACATGTGTCCTAGCTTGCTCCGTATTTGAGATACATAGGATGTTGAAGTTGGAAGTATTGATTGTTTTTATTTATAACTCCCCTGTATTAGCTTTCATGGTGCCAAAATTCAGTATGGATGGAGATTGAGAAAGCCCCAAAATGATTCAATTTGGGCTATAAGGATATACACAGATTTTTTCTGGTATTCTTGTAAGTACATGTCGTTCGATCTTACCCTTTAACGCAATGAGCAGCTGTCAAAACGTATCTGTCATTGATGAGCATACCTCCGCAGTAGAATCTGTTGAAATATGACAACCTCGCCATCCAAGGAAATTCGTTTTCGTTTGTCGGTTTTCCACCTACTATTCGACTGTTGTCGTTTTTCTCCCCACAAGCTGGAAAATAACAACAAATAGAAGGTAATCTGAAAAGCTTGCTACTGATGATGGTTTTCGAGATATATGCGATTATATCTTGATGGAGAAAAATCCGTAATTTTAGTTTCAGAACGCCTGAAGGCAAGAATATAGTTGCGTTTTATTTGTTCCACTCTGGTAACGGTGGTGGGAACAGAATGACGTTTACATACATAAAACGAAAAACTTCATGACCTTGCTAGATGGCTCCGAATGATTTCAAAATCATAATTCCACAGTTGAAAATCAAGAAAATTGATCAATGCATATTTGGAGCTGTGATTGCGGTGATTTAAGAAATTCATCTGCAGTTCTGCTATCTAGAGAACTCCTTTCATCTGGAAATGAAGTTATGAAGCCTGTCCTACCCGTCCTATACCCAGTTGAAGGAATCATAAGATTTTGACACCTGCATATTATTTATAGCATTTTATCGAAATTTCAATTCAGATTGTAATTCGAAAGTGTGAACTTCACGATAACAATATTTTCTACTTTCAAATGTTTGGTCCGTATACCCCGAAAATCAAATTCAACTAATAAGATTTATTTATTATTTATTTATTTATTTATTTATTTATTTAGTCATTTATTCAGTGATTCAGCAATAATATACAACAATAAACTACAGTAATATGCATTTCATTTCTAACATAACATAATAAATATATTAATTACTGAGACTGAAAAGGGCTATAGTTAGTTTCAATGTACCGGGTGACACGTTATAAAGTACCACCCCCTATAACTCTTTTATTTTTGACAGTAGAAAAAAAATAAAAAAACAGCCTTACAGGGAATTTTTTTTCCTCCTCGAATCAACTGATATATTTTTAGTATATCAAAGGATATACAGGGAGCAGGAAAAAGTGCAAAAATTTTAAATGGAACGCCCTATATATTTTCGCCCCATTAGATAGACCTTTCGAAGCGCTTTCCGAAAATACCCGTTTCAATACATTTATCTTCAGTATTTCTCATAATATAGACGTTTGAACCTGAAAGTCGTTTTGATTGATTTATGATTGAATAACTGTTCTATGATTGTAGATAGTATGCCATGAGGTAACCATGAGTAACTGCAACAATAATAAAGGTTTGTTATGACATTTCATTGTCATTTCTAGTGAAGATTAATCCCTTCATTACTTCTTGTTAATTTCCTCTATAAGTAAGTTTTTCTTGAATCATGGTGTATTCAAATGAAGAAAAGCAAGAAATAGTAACTTTATTCATAGAAAATAATCAAAACGCATCCGCTGCAAGACGTGGCTACATACATAAATGTACATTGATCCCAATCTTCCCTATAACCCTAGATCTTTCCTCTATTTGAGGTCTGTTGATAATTGAAAATTTTCTAGTCTCTATTTCTAATAAAGTGACTTCGAATATGCGTCTCAAAAGTATTATTTCAATAATTCGATACTTACTACAATGACATGGAGATGGGGGTGTGTCATGCCTAGGTGGAGGACGATTTCCAAAATTTCCAAATTTTGGTCCGAAGTTTTTTTTCAGATGCGTCTGTTCTGGCTTCTGAGTTCTCACCTTACAAATAAAATACAAGCATTGAAGTTTCGAGAGATTGTGGTACTTTTTAATGTTGAATCAGTTTAAAATGGAAGAAAACATTTTTTGAAGGCAGTTTTACAAAAACTATCAAAATTTCTTCATTTTATCTTAGACGCAATGCATAATTTCTGGTATGTTATTTTCGTGTAATCTTGAATTTAATTTTATTTTCACTTGGAAATGATGCATCTTAATTGAATGAAAAAAAATATAGAGTAGGTACCGTACTTAATATTTTCAAGAACATTATATAAAAAAGTTATGGTCATATCTAACACATTTCCACCCTGCTTGATACGTATTTGAATAGAATTGCGAATCATTTGAATGAAATTTCGAATTCGATATACATTTACAGTGTTGTACCATGAAAGATTAGCCTTTGAACACAATTTCAACAAATTTAATCTAACAGAAAATAGTTATTTATGTATCAAGGACGAAAAACTGTCTATTGTAGTCGAGCCCGCAAATTGATAGCCGAGGCCTCAGCCGAAAATTCTACATGATAAAATAAGACTTTTATTTCATATGTACTTGGTGCCGGAAATGCATACATACAGTGTGTTGAAACTTTTAAAAAAGATCGGTTTTTTATAAATATCTGAAATGTCCTTTCATCGATTTTCTTGAAATTTGGCAATGATATTTTTCGTCATGGGGGCTGATGTTGCTATAATTCAATCTGAATTATAAAATCCAGTGGCGTCCCAGGGGTAACTTACCGAATAATATTGTCAATAAAATGTGCGCTACTGATTTTTTCTAATTCTTTATCGTCATAAACTATTGACCAATTATAAATACAACATTTTAGTCTATCAAATTGTTATGATGATTTGCTTCATTTCCATGGAAAAAAATAAATACCAATTTATTGCATAAAATTGTGCCAAACAATTCCTTGGAAAACTGGGGTGAGAATAAATGCGTGATCAATGTCCATAGACATAGATTGAGTATGAAGATTCATTTTCTTCAAATATTTCTTGATACATGTTCGACACACTCTACAGTCTGTATATTGAGAACTGTGTATTCTCGGTCCAGGAAGGCGTAGTTTTCGATAATACAAACTGTGTCGAACATGTATTATGAAATATCTGAAGAAAATTAATCTTCATTCTTATTCTACGTCTATGGACATGGTTCACACATTTAATTTCTCCCCTGTTTTTGAAGATATGTTTGATGTACCAATTTGAATGAAGATGGCCATTTGAATAGCCGAAACATGTCTTAAACCTTATTGAAGCAGGATTGACTGCATCTTTTTAACAATGAACTTATGGGGACCACTTCATGGGTGTTCATGCAATGACCTTTCATCAGCTGTTTAATCTTTTTCCAGCACGGCTAGCTATTATTTGGTGCATGCGTTGTCGTGAATTATGGAAGAAATTGATTTCTCAGTTGAATATTGACCATATTTCTCAGTTTTGATTTTAGTTTTGATTTTTTAGTTTCTTACATTACATTCCATAGTTTTATATTATTGGTTGAAGTTTAGAATTAATTAAAGTTTTAAAATTTGCTTGTATGAATCCACATTCAGTGTCTAACCTTCGGAAATAGTCAGGTTTTCGTTTGTAAATTAAAACTTAAAATGTGATTTCTTGTAGAGATCGACGAACAATTCTGTTTTTCAACTGCTATAACAAAAGATTGTTCTTGTTATACGACGCTATACATAGTGGAGTATACTACGGCCTTGTCAAAAATGCTATCTCGGAAACTAAGCGAGATAGAGGTATAGTTACTTTGGAGAAAATGATCCCCATCGAATTTTGAGCAACTTTGGTTTTTGTGTTGTCTGTACTCTGTGGTAATCATAAATCGATATATCTCCGGAACCCTTTGACATATCGACTTGAAATTTCGCCATCTTATTGTACTGAAAACAATATCATGTCATTAAAATATGAAGGAAATCGGAAATCTCTAAGGTGGTTTTTCCGGTTTTTTTCGATTTTTCACCGGAAGTTTCTTGTAACCACTCTACAAATCGCAAAAGTGGTCCGATCGATTTCATTTTTGTGAAAGAAAACTCTATCAGGGAAAGACGAATCCTATTGAAATTGAGCAGGGTCGGAACTCGGAAAATTCCAAGTGAGTTTTTCAAGGAGATTTTCCGAACCACACGGTTCGCTTTGAAACGACATATCTCCTGAACCAATAGACTAAATCCAAATTTGAAAAATGCATCGTATGCCTCTTTGATGACGCAACAAATTATTATATTACCATTTTTTGATGCATCCATCGGAAAATGGAAAAACAAATGAAAATCAAAACATCAAAATTTGAAATCCTTTCCAATATATATCGAAAATAAATGGGAAAATCGAAAATTATCAGTAGTGCAAAGTTATCCACTGGAACCTTTCCTACAAATTATCACCCATAATTTTTTCTGTAAACCCAATAGTACAGGAAATAAAGTAGAAAATATGAAAAAAAAATTTGAACGACCCAAAGGGTACCATGAAGATATAATGAAAAACAAAGATTATGGATAGATGAAGCTCATCGACTTCCACTGAGCAATGATAAAATATCATCTGCTTTTATAGCGTCGTATAAATTATCTGACCTCCATACTAATCTAATACCTAATGAAAACTACATCCATACTAATCTGATACCTTTCAAAAACTACGTACCTCACTTGTTTCACTGTGTTCGATACATCAATGAGGTACTTTGTATCGCTTTGTATGACATCAATTTTATTTCCGTATCTGATATCACAATCACTCAATTGTGTAAATATTAAAAAAAAAACTCATCGCCCATGGTATGTCAAATTTCAAGCAATGACAGCTCCGTCTAATAGATGAGCATTACTTGACAGGGAATCAGATGGCTACAAGACGAATTACTCGAAATTGCCGCTGTTATATATTATAGCCGTAGAAAAATTATAGTGTGTAACTTGCACGGAATGCTAATTTCCTACTCGAATGATTGCAGCATTCGCCTATGGCTCATGCTGCAAACTTCATTCTCGTAGGAAATCACTATCATTCCGTGTTCGTTAAACAATATACTATTTCGTCACATTTTTTTCGACAAAATTCATATTGAATTGTATCAGCTTCAATAAATTTTGTGTACTATTCAGATCTGGGAGAGTAACAATATTTTATGGAACACCCTGTATAAACAAAAATAATAGTTCCCTTAACTTTGATCATAATCAAATTTTGATACCTCATTCTCCCGATAGTAATACTTACGATTTCACTTGCTAACACCCAACACAAAAATAACACACTGATTTTCCACAGAGACAGAAATTCAGCCATCTTCGTTTGATTTTCGCGATTGATCTGACATCAAAATCGCGGTAAGCTGGTTTGACTTCTTCGAGGCGACTGTTTGACAATAGACGATCGGCAAGAACCAGAAGATCTGATGTATGTGAGAGCATCTGCAATGCTGTTTTCTATACGAGGGGAGAGTGATATGTGGATAAAATTACATTGTAGTTCTCAAGGGCGGATACAAGGGGGGTCATGGTCATGACCCTCCTGGGCACAGGTGGTCCGGTGTTTTTCTTGTGAAGTATCTGCTCAATTCACCAAACAAATCTATGCTAATATTATAAAGATGAAATAAGATCTAATTGTTTTTGGATGTATGACGAACTGATATTCATCATACAGGACGTGGAAAGAAATTATGAATTGAGAAAACCCAATCACGAATCTGAGATGAGAGGTCTTTGAAAATAAGTTTCCATCGTTCAAGTTTGAACCCCTTGATTGGGTATGGAAGTATTGACAATGAATATTTTCAGATATATCATGAAAATGGAAAAATGGATATATACATAGAGAAATACCTTCGTTGAGAATTCGCATTCGCATTATGTGATGAAAATATTAACTCTTTCTCGCGGTTTATTCAACAGAAAACAACTACTTTCCAGGCTATATGCCACGACGAACATTGAATTATATCTATTGGAACCACACTATGAGAATTTGAAAATAAAATCCTCTGAAGTTGAGAATTTGCATTCTCCTTCAAATAAAAATATGTATGCACAAAATATTATTCTAAATATTCAACAGAAAACAACTACTTTCCTGGCTATTTGCCACGTCGAACATTAAATTATATATTTGGATGGGAATGGAAGAACATGAAAATTAAAATCCTCTGAAATTGAGAATTGACATTTGATTTGGAAGAGAATGCCAATACCAATGCACTTCTTATGGTTCAGAATATTTATAACTTTTTTCTCAGTATACTTTCTATCACTTTATTCGTTGAAAAAATATATTTCAAAAATGTTTACAGCAAAAAAGATTCTTGTATGTAATTTGGTCAGTGAATTAGCAGTGCAGCAATGCAATAGTGCGCAGATTTTGTACAGACCTTTTGGGGACATCCTGTATTTTCATCGATTCAATTCCAATCGATTCTGGATAATGAAGAATAAATAATAATTTTTCAATAAATGTTTCAGAAAATATATTTTGTCAGTATTAGATATATATTAAAGTATAGTTGTTTTCTATGTTATAGAAAGGAAAGAAGGGGTTGTTTGGACGCTGGGAAACAATGATGATATATCCTATATGGAAGATTAACAATTATTCGCAAAATATGCCACAATTAAATATTATAATAAAAACAATGCACTGTGTATATTATGATATATACACATCGAACTCCTAATTTTTTTGGATTTCGGAAAATCATGGATGATGACTAAGACTAGGTCGAAACACATTCAACTAAGCTTTCAGAATTTGTGAGCACATGATCAGAGCAGTGTTTAAAACAAGTTGACGATGGTTCTACAAACACAAAACGTTGCATAGGGAAATCAATATGACCACGTACTACGTTAAATCAAAATATGCTATAGAAAAGCATTCCCAGATTTTTTAGGTATTGGTTCCTAACTCTGTTTGAGTTAAGCATTACATTCTATTCATATTTGTTATTGAATAAACTTTGACAATTAAATCCCATATCATATTTATTTACTTCAAGTAACTCTATAGTTTGGGCAAGATGGCATATCATGCCATCTTACCCGGAACATTCAGGCTGAGATGGCATACCGAGGTGATTTTTCAAAAAAATATACCCAACCTAAAAACCCAGTTAGGGTTTGTTAATTTTTATTATTGTTAGGCTAGGTATTTTTTATTCAAATACGTTTTATACCGTTAATCTCAAAAATACCTCAGAAAAAGAAAATTATGAAATTTATGCCAACTTGTCACATTTCCCCTATGTCTTACAACATCAAGAAGATTTTTTACATTTCAAAATATTGTTCCATCAATGTGGAGCTCAGCACTCAAGAATACACTGATACTCTTAGATCTAATACCAGTCAGACGAACTCGACAAAAGCTCAGTCAATACACCATTTTTAAAATCTCAAAACTTCACAAACGATACGATTTCCACAAAATTCTTAAACACACAACATGTTTCGCTAACACAGTAGCTTCGTCAAGTGATATACTGGTAAAATGAACTGTGTGGAGTTCATTATTGTACCAGTATATCACCTGACGAAGCTACTGTGTTAGCGAAACATGTTGTGTGTTGTGAAAATGGAGTTCCATTAAGTAACGGCCGAGTCAATTCAAAAAAATATCATTTTGTAGTCAACTCCTAGATTTGTCGAAATATTTCGAACAACTCTCTACCAAAACCAAAACTAGTTCGTAGGAAACTAGGGAAGTAAAGGTATGTGAGGTTCATAGGAGCCAGAGTGGAGTAGTAGAAGTTGAAGAGTGGAAAATTAATCTCAAGGGGCAGTAATGTCAAAAGTCAAGATTTCATAACATCCGAAAATTCGAAAGTATTCAATACCTACCTCATTTTCCTATCCATTCCTGATTCACACGATGTTGCACGAACACAATAGGGATTCTTCCACATGCGATTGAAAAGAATAATATAATTAAGATGTACCTATATTTTTTTACTCATTATTGTCTTTTTTGATGGTTTTGAGAGAAGGCGCTCCCTATCATGACTCATACTAGGACCCTGAAATACATGTGGTCTATAATTGAAGAGTGGAAATTCAAAAGGATGTAAGTGCCAACAAATTTAAACTGAGATATTACATAAAACATGCCTAAAAAATTAAAATAAAAAAAAACTTTATAGAAATATGTTTATTGGGTACAGAATACACGATCACATGAACTACATACATAGTTACACATAAAAAACAAAAACTCATATGATAAACACTAACTCAAACATGACAACTGCTAGAAGGTCCAAAGTGCCAAGAACCAGAAATCGTGAAAAGGGTCTATGTCCAGAGTAGTCTTTTACTGTGATTCTGGTATTTCTATGAGATCTTCATAAAACGGAATATATTTCAATGGAATATAGTCCACCATGTTTTTTAGATTTTTGAGCTTCTCTTCTCTGCCCCATAAGAAAAGTACTCTGCTTATCGTGATTTGCAACATCATAAAATTGTTGGAATAATGAGTTCCTCTGGTTGAACGATAAAGATTTGCAGGAATATTTACAAGAACAAGTTACCTGCAACAAGAGCATAATGTGAGTATACTTAATTTACTGATTTTGGGTTAAAATTGCTTACCTCTTGTTCAGGTGGATTTTTTGCCGGTATAAGGACATTTTTATAATTTGTATGTTGCAAGCCACTAACTCTGCTTCTTTTTCTCTCATTTCAAACACTCTCATTACCATTCTTTCGCCTTTTTACTGCAATATTAGCGGCTTGTACATCACCACGTGCGTCCATCTTGTATACTAACAATGTTAATTATTTGGAACTTAGACTCTTTTAAGGTACAACAAGTACTGGCGCTTCGACCCTGCGCAGCTTTCTACATCACAAAATGATTACTGCCTATGGCAAATGGCACATTGACCGTTTTGTATGGTATTGGCCTTGGCACATAGACCCCATAATAAGTGAAATCTAAAATTTGGTGAAAGCGGCACTTAGACCCTTTTGAATTTCTAATCTTCAATTGTTGATGCCGTATAAGGGCTTTTATGTGCCTTCTGGTAAAATAGGCCTTTCCCTCAGTATATTTACTGAGATCGCAAAAAGTGCAGCGAAGATACTAGCACATTATTTTCGTCATGGTTATCTCATCAATAATGCTCTTGAATCGAAAAGTCAGTGATTTATTTCAAAATAAGATTAGAGAAATTAAATCGACCTACAATAAATTTTTCAACTGATATTATTTCTTCAAGGTGATGAATTTTTCTGATAGGTATACTTATGCACAACAACGGGATCTGGAAAATTTCTTTATCTTCATTATATCAAACACGTTATTGATGGAATATTGCAACAAATTTTTCAAGAAAATAATTATCAACTTTGACATTGGCAAGGACAGAGTACACGAACACTGAACATGTGAGAATGTCGATATAAGGTATGTCTGACAAGATCAGCTGGATTGAGTATAATTATCTCGTTTACAAGATTTAAGATATGGATATACTGGGGGTGGCAAATTAGCTGCCAAAATACTACAAACAGAATGTTCAGAGATTCAGAAAAAAGCAACACAGCTCAATTTTCTCAATACGCAATAGAATAAAAAATCGACAAAAAATAATCAACGATTCATGTTTTCAACGATTCATGTTTTTTTCGTTTGGGGCCGAGTTGAATACCGTCATACATTGTATATATTATATCTGTACTGTCAAGATTAGAGCGAGTAACCATCATCATCAAACGACATCCAGGCAATCAGCAATCTTTTTCAAACCGGTATTCTTTCGCTCACAATATAATAACATTATGCTAATTGCCAGATCTGCTTGTGTTGTACCATAAGCGTAGGCAGCATAATACAGAACAAAATTTACCAGAAAACAATTTGGATACAAGAAAGCATCAAGCAGGAGTATACCACCTGTATACCACCAATATAATAACATTATGCTAATTGCCAGATCTGCTTGTGTTGTACCATAAGCGTAGGCAGCATAATACAGAACAAAATTTACCAGAAAACAATTTGGATACAAGAAAGCATCAAGCAGGAGTATACCACCTGTATACCACAAAGAATGTAGAAATGTCACTGATATAATAGCACTCTGCGATTATCAAAGAAAACATGAATAACATTTATTGAAAAATTGAGAAATTGATTAAGACTATTTCACTCATCACATTTTTTCTGATTGGTCTGACAGCGTTCATGCTTTCAACGATGTAACCGTGGATAGCAAAGCAAAGTCTGTCAGATTAGCATAAAAAAGTCATATCTGTACTTGTCAGAATGAACCACTAATTCATAATAAATTCTTTTTATGCTATGTGAATGTGAAATAGTCTAGCAAAATACCACTCTTCTCATAATTATGTCTTTCATTGTTCACGAAACTGTGATGCCGAGAAACATCACGAGTCTGTCAGGACGAGTCAACAGAATTATCTCGAATATTCAGAACATCGTGATATTACTTATGATAATATACACTTTTCTAAAGATGCCTACACGGAAAGTGTTCCCCAGAAATCTATGCTATAATTCAATCATTAGCAATACCAGTCAGACGAACTCAACAGGCCCAGTCAGCACATCCCTTCGTCGTCAACCTTGAAAAATGTCGAATAACACCAAAACTCGTTCGTCTATAGAACGGCAGAGCTTATTTGGAATTCTTTGCCAATGGAAGTATTCTCAAGAACTTATATCTTCCAAAAGTTCAAAACAAAATCCAACTCCTGCCTTCTTCTCCCAATCCTCCCTTTCCTTTCGTCCGCTCCAAGAGATAAAAATAATACATAAAGACCACAATATCACTTACCTACTACCAATATGTGATGTGAAACATTATGACACTGATTTCAGTTTCGTCATGATCGAGATACTTTACAACACTAATGCGGTAAAGTAAAATATAATAAAAAAATTTTGAGTTGTTAACTCAAAAAAAGGAGATAAAAACCACAGAAATGAAAACTAATGAACTAATCGATCATAATCATAGCGGATACTGAAGTTTGAATTGCTTCATTTGCCGCAATTTCTCTATATCTGAATCTATTTTCGCTCGGCTATGAAGTATTAGCCAAGGCAGTCAATCTACATTTTCTGCCATGTGAAACATACAATTTTTTCTCCAAATGTATGAAAAAGGAAAGCATACGAGATTCACACTACTTGCTTGATCTGTATATTTATGATCCATTCTCGGGATCTGATTGATTGGATAACTTGATTTTGATTAATCACGGCCAGCAATCCTTTTTTGTCTCACACAACGATATTGTTTAGCTTCATTTGATTACCGAGCCAAACACAGAGAAATATGGAGAGAAATAAATAAACGTTATTATTATTGTTGATATGCTCACTAACCTAACATTTTCCTCGTCTTTTATACCTATACCTGGCACTGGCGCGGTATTTGCTATTAGGTCTGGCACCTAGTCCAAATAAAGGAATTCATCGATTCATCGATTCAATAGAACACAAATGGGCCACTCCGTGGTTGTGTTTATATTGAAACAATAATTTGAACATCCTTGAAATACGCAAATTCGCTTGTCAAACAAAGTGTCACTTTTGATCCTAATAAAACAATGTACTATATTCTACTCACATAACTGAATTGGCATTCAGCTTTCGGATATGTACCACGTTAAATGATCGTTAGCAAGCAAGCCATTTATGTATCCTAACCTAACCTAGCCAGATCTACAACCAATATCACTTATAAGCTTCTCGTTGGTTGCGTGCAGATGTATATGATCTTGTCAAAGAGAGGAATTATGAGTTCGTAGAAAAAGTATAGCATGTAACGCGTTTATATTCTCTTCTACACACTCGTTTATTAAACACTCGCACCGCTCTGCTGCGCTCGTGCTTAAAATACTCGTTACTAATAGGAAGTTCATAACACCTGTTACATAATATAGTATCACGATATTCGTAGCGTAAATTCATATTAGGATAAATGACGGGTTATCCAACTCGGTCCTCGGCCGCGTTTGACAAATTTTCCATTACAATCATTTTCCGGAAGAAAAACGATCATTTTCAGAAAAATTCAACTCAATAGTTTGATGTAATTCAATAACACTGATGTGAATAGATATCAGATACTCCAGGGACACGAATAGGATAACCTAGGGATGTACCGGGCGGGATGTCCACTGGACAACCACTGCAGGATATCCCCTGGATGCCCCAATCATTTCCTTGTACCGCGGGACAAAAAAGGGACGTTCCTAGGACATCCCTGTGTTGTTAGGGATGTAGATTTCATCGGAAATCAGCACTTTTTTATTTCATTAAAATCGCACGGCACTGTTCAAAATGATGTTCGTCTCTGGAAAACTATACTCATATTTCATATTGTTGGTTATTTTTACCATTCCACTCGACCATTAGCAGTTATATTATATACATTGAGGTCCGTTCAAAGTGAAACACGCCATATACAGCAGGGTCTTGACTTGAACATTATTTGCCATGTCGAATTCTTTTTTCGAAATATTGGGAAAGAATTCGAAATTTTTAAATAGTCAAAATTTTGAGAAAAGAATCGGAATTTTGAGAAAAAAGTTGAAATTTCGACATAAAACCGAAATTTCGATTTGAAAGTTGTATTTTCGGGATGAAAATCGTATTTTCTTTTTCACATGTTGTCTACGCTCATGGTGTTATGGTCATTGACCGTATGGGTACACTTCAATATGTATGCGAGTCATGGAATATCGTATGAGATGGTATGAGTACCCACCTTTCAATTATTCACCGACTAGATTCTCAGAAGCAAATCATCGAAGTATTCAAGTACAAAGTTGTTGAGGCGAGAGATTTGTCATTGTCAACAAAGGAGCGAAGAAAATAATTGGTAACCTTGAAGGCTCCAAATCCTTGACTGTGTGATCTAGGTACTTATTCGTTTCTCAATATATATATTGTTCACAAATCTCCTAGGATATTAATACAAATAATAACAAAAAACAACTTTTATTTCACAATAAATTAATATAAATATTCAACAATTACAATTAACAGCTTGACTCATAGAAATTATATATCTTAACTACATAAACAACTCTCTTGTAAATTGTACTTGAGCCAGTTTAGATATTTTGATACCCTCGTATACACTCCTGGATATCCTGGTCTGCCACAACCTACGCCCCAGGAAACAATTCCTGGAAAATATGATTTTATTCATTGACATTTATTTACATAATAATATAATTAAACCACAAGTATAATACTTGAGTAATATTAGTCGTCAATGAAGTAGAGTATACTACTCATAATAATGGCTATTATTCTTGACTCGTTGTATAATCTACTATTATTGCTTCGATATCATCTTATGGGATGACTGAAGTCGACGTCATCACACGAAGGTAGTTCACCCTGTATGTTAGATCATGATTCCAGAAAACAGTAAATTGAAATCAGAAAACGATCTATTTCAAGAATTTTTAGTAGTTTTTTTTATAATATGTACATACAGGGTGGAGACTTTGAGTGAAATAAATTCGCTAGGGAGTATAAAAAGGTGAATACTTTTTTACAAAATTCTCGAGATATATCAAAATGTATCAATGTTTGTTTTCAAAGCAACCCTATGGTATGTGACATCTTTATGGAAAGCCAATGGAAAGAGGAATCTAGATTTTATTCTTAAGAACGTTTGAGGCTTGCATAAAATCAAAACGTTTAATTCAAGTTTAGCTCATTTCCAACTTAAGAATTGCTCAACATGTGGAGATAACTCCTATTTGATGAAGTAACTCCATGCATTCGCATAAAACTTATGTGTGTCTTGTGTGGGCTGAAATAATGAAAGATATATATAGTAGGACCATTTTTCTTTGATGAAACCATTAATAGAGCAATAATACGATCCAAGCATTTTCTTCAGTACTAACTAATGTCAGTGTTATGCCATCAATTTCCAAATCCCTTGAACCATCTTGACCGAGAGGCTATGGTTACAGCGAGATGGGAGATATCTGGTACGTGGATTGTATATAGGGTGAAATGATATTGTGTGGCCAGCAAGGTCTCCTGATTTACACTGCTGGATTTCTTCTTAGGAAGACATCTCAAAAGTTAGGTTCAAAGACCCAACAATATAGAGAAAAAACACCGGGAATGTTGCATAATGTGAAACCCATTACAAACTGGGATGCTTCCAAAAGGGGGAAAGTACAAATTTTGAGCAATTATTGTTACATTGTGAATAAATTAAACTTTGAAATTATGTTTTGATTTCATGCAACTTTCAAACGTATTAGAAAATGATATTTGATCAGGATTTTTTTCGAAAAATCATCCACCTTCCTTGCCAGCGAATGTGTTTATGTTTCATCAATATACAGGGTGTATATTGATGAAACACAGAAAACAGCTTTCGGAAGCATTTTGTACTCATAATTCGCCATTTTTTGTGCGAGATTCATGATTTTTTTCGACATATAGTTGGTGAAGATTTTGAAGAAGTACTGAGTGTTTTTCTTCCTAACTTCTACGCCAATGGAAAAAGTACCGTTCTAAACCGCACATTTGAACTTTTAATGTTTTCTACACAAAAAGGTACTCATGGTCATAAGCTCTAAAGTAGACCGTTTTCAAGAAAAATCAACTTCTGTGTTGAAGAAATTGGCAGTTTTTGAAAAAAGAACAGAATTTATTCAAACGTTAGAGCAAGTAACAAAACTATATAAACGTTAACTTCATATTGCAAAATGAAAGAAAATGATAACAAACCATTGTCAGTTAAGTTAATAATAATTGTTGGAAATGTCCATGATTTTCAACATAAAAGTTGTTTTTTCTTGAAAACGCACAGTTGTAGTGCTCATTACAAGAAGAATTTTTTTGTGTAAAAAACATTGCCGGTTCAAATAGGTGCTCAAAACTGTACTTTTTCCAGTGTCGTAGAAGTTAGGGAGTAAAACACTCACTACCTAAAAAAAAAAATTGTTCTAAAATTGTTCTATCTTCTTAGGCCATCAGAAAAAGTCTGCGTTCGTGGGTCTCGAACCCACGATCGATACCTCGACGTGAATCGATATTGAAGCATCGAAGCACTGAGGTACGCCGGCCTAAAAATCCTCCTCAAAATCTTCACTACTTATGACTTAGTGATTTCACAGATAATTTTATATTGAATATTTTATCTAACCCTCTTTTATACGACTCACTATGTTCAAATGTACAAAAATTCCTGTATTGTATTGTTCTAATATTTTATGTATCCATTTGAGGAAGTTTTAATCCAATTCATTTCAATTTTACAATAGGTAGGACTTGTCCACTAACCTTATGATCGTGGTTTCTATTCTATACTACACAATAGCTAGACGCTTGTTGGTAGTGATTAACATGATAAAGTCTCGTCTTGTCTCGCCGATGAAATATGAAGTCTTGTCTCGTCTCGCAGCCTCGAGTCTCGTCTTGTCTCGCGTCTCGTACGAGAGTCTCGCAAATGTATTGCAATTTCGTCATGCATAATCTTGTTTCAGTCTAGTACGGGATATTTACCTTCACCTACTTTTAAGGTATAAGGAAGTAGGAAGAGAAAATTGCAACAAAAATAACATTATTTATTGAAAAGTAAATACCTAATAGGTACATACTTACATCATACATCTTTATCTTAGACTATATAGCACAGAATGACTTATTTAGAGATTTTCAGGTAGTCATTCGATTTGCGATCTGTCGTTATTGCAGAATTGCCTTTATATTCCGCCGCCGTAAGAGAGAGAATAGTACGGTTTCGTTTCCACGCATTACGTCGTTTTAAAACAATCATGGATTGTGTTTTCAAAGTATTTTTGAATAAAATGTTTTGTTTTTGTGCTAAATAGTCTGAATTCTCTCTAAATGTGTTGTATTATGAATGAAATTCTCAAGTCTGCAGTCGGCACGCAGAAATATTTACCTGCGATACTCTCGCACGAGACCTACTGCACGAGTCTCGAAACGAGACCAATAAAAGTCTCGTCTCGAGTCTTGTCTCGATAACGAGACGAGACCATGCGAAACTCTCGAAAACGAGTTCTCACGGGCACCACTATTTGTTGGGTCAGCCACTCACCTACGATCTCGTACTTGTCCCCGCTGTGGACCAGCAACGGCCCGCCGCTGTCTCCCTGACACGAGTCCTGCGCCCCTTTACCCGCGCACAGCATGTAGCCCGTGATGCGCGACGAGCGGTACTTCATGGCGCGGCATTGGGCCAATGAGAGGATGGGCACGTCCACCTCCTGCACGATGCTCGGCAGCAGGCCGCCTTCAGACGTCCTGCCCCAGCCGACCACAGTGCCGGTGCGGCCTGCAGGGTCGGCAGCTGCAACAAAATTCGATGGGGGAAGGTTAAGTAAGTAGGTAAGTATTTATTTTCATAGGACTTGCGCAACAAGTATGTACATTGTCAATTCAAAATAAAATAGAATCACATAGTAATGAAACTTAAAATAGAACTATCCTGACCTATCTAGGAAGTGAAGAAAAAAAAGTAGTAGTTGTAGGTGAGAAGGCTGTAGCCAAGCAAGTAGGCCCCGATGTACCCTATTTGCTAGGAAAAAACAAACAAAAGAAATACAACACTGAAAAGGAATACTCTCACAAAAATTATGTACTTGAAGAAATAAAAAAATGGATATACATATGAAGAAATACATTGAGAAATTGCATTCTCTAAATGATAAAACTATCATAGATGTCGAACAGCACTTTATCAAGACTCCTTCATCCATAGAACGGCTAGGCTCTGGAATTCATTGCCTGTGGAAGTATTCCCAACAACATATAATCTCCAAAAGTTCAAAAAAAATTCCGATACCTACCTCCTGTCCCTATCCTCCCTAGGAACGCACGATGTTCTTTGAACATTATAGGGATTCCCTTTCGTGCGCTCCAAGCGATAAAAAAAATGCAACGACGATCATTGCATTATACCTATTGAGCACACACGATACGAATTTGAAAAATAAATCGTCGTGGCATATAGCCAGGAAAGTAGTCGTTTTCTGTTGAATAAACCGAGAGAGAATTGATATTTCTGATAAATGAATAGAATTGTTTACAAATAATTATACAGAGTAACCCATTTGGAAGCGGGCCACCATCATAATTTTTTTATTTATGGAACGATGTTCACGATTGCTTTTCTAGAATGTAGAGAAGGGAAAGGAGTCTTTTGGAGCCAAGTGGAGTCTATTTTTCAAAAAACGAAGGGGTACTAGATCACATTCAGAGGAAAATTCGGAATCCTCAGTAGCAATTTTTTCAGAAAAATCAGCGTACACTACTGAAATCGGGGTCTTCTGAGAAAGGTCTTCACCAAGTTCCATGAAAAAATATTCAACATTGACGAATCTACAGCGTGTCTCATTTCACACAGCGCCCCCCCTTTATCTCAGCAATCACCAATGAATTTGTGCCTTAGAAATGCTCACCTGTTGTTCGGTTAAGATATTTGATATGTTCATTTCATCATCTGAATATTCCGAGACTTGATCTGATTGTTGGATGTTTCGTTTCCGATGATCAAGAAATAGGTCCAAAGTGAAATAGAATAAGCGTAGAACTGAATGGAGAAAATAAGACAGGTGGTTGCATCTTCATATTTGAGGTCTGACCAATCAAGAAGTGCATCACTATTTTCGCCACGATGCTTGACTGGAGGGTAAACCACTATTCATGGTCAGGTTAGGTTAGGTTAGGTTTTCAACCGATTCAAAAGTCGTCTATTTTTATTCCAAAATTAGCGCTTGAAGTTGACGTTTCTTTTACTGACACAAAAATAGGTATGTTGCTAAGCAACACTACAACAAACACAAACTTTGGCAAATCAGACTGGCATACTTCCTACTGTCAATTGAGTATTTAGCGAACTTATGTACGGAGCATTTATAAAGGTAGAATGATCTTCACCGCAAGGATTATTTGTTGCATCGCATCCTTAATATTATCGCAAGACATCCACGTTTCGAGTAGTAAATTGAATTCGTGCTTGTAGTATCTGATGACATGATGCATGTCAACACAAATTATTAAAACGAAGTAAATTAGTCTGAGGCCTTGTTTCTATGTACTTACTCATATGTTATTTTTTTCACCACTAGCTATGAAATATATCATTATATACTCCTTTTTGAGGCGTAAATTGTGTTCTTATTACTAAGGTAGTTTTTGTCATTTTATGAACCACGGGTCGATAAAGACATAGCCACCTCTGTTGTAATAAACCTTAATTCACTGTTCTGATGCGATACTAGCTAGAATGGCACTCGAATCTAGTGAATAACGATTTGTCACCCAGCGAGCACAAAAACATCTCAGAGATGTTAAAAGTACGAGATTTCGAGACATCGAACCTCCACTGCGATGTTCTGTTCACACATGAATAGAACTATTATAGAACAGCCAATGTCCGCCGCAGGCGGCAATTATCGAGATGTCCTTGATATGTCACAAAACTACCTTCTTCCTAGTTCTTTTTAAAGCCTTTTCATGGACACAACAGAACATTTTCAACGCGTCTTGCGCACATTAAATCGCTGTAAAAACCATTTTCGTGGTACTTTTCTGAAGCCTTTTGTCAAAATGAACTTTTGCATTAGGATTCCATTTTCCTTGAATGACAAAATGCATTAAAAATAGATTGAACATAAAAATATTTTCTTGATATGAAATTACCTCCTTAATCGGTTTATGAGTAGTGCTTACTACACTCAGACATATAATTGGAAATAGGTTTCCCAATTTTTGGAATGTTCTCCACAATGCATGATTTTGCAACTGCGGAGAAGCTGTGTATTGATGAATTCGTACTTTTACTAAATAAGTCTTCTAACACAATAAACTTCACCAATTTCCTTTCTGTTTGTTAGCAGCGTGATGTAAGCGTGACACGCTGCAAACGCGAATGCCAATTGCGAACAAGAAGAACAAAATCGAAAGCAAATCAGAATTCATCGTATTGTGACGCAAGCATGAGACGTTGTGGTGGGGCAAACAAAGAAAGGGCACAAAAGAACAAAAACAATACTTTCAATATCCTTCTAAGACCTCTTTGGGTAGTGCATATTACGCCTCAAAAAAACATCCTCATGCCTACATTTCTAAAACATCCCAAAACATCCCAGGGATACCTCTCAGTAGGCAAACAAAGAAATGCCACAGAAGAACAAAACAATATACTTTAATATCCTTCAAAGACCTCTTTGGTCAGTGCATATTACGTCTCAAATTAAAGCATCTTCATGCCAACATTTTCAAAACATCCAAAAACATCCCAGGGATGTTTGTGCTCGCTGGGCATATGCTGTCATGGTCATGACTACTAGATTTAAATTAGATTCAGAGAGAAGTTCTTTTACAGTGACAACTGACAATACGTCCATATTTCAGTTTCACCACAGTTTAGGAAATAGTATATGTAATATTCCCTAAACTGTGATTTCACAGAACTAGTTGTCACTCGAAATTGAGGCATTCTATCATCTTCATTATTACATTATGTATCCTTTCGGTCGAGTATAACCGACAAACATTATGACTCATTCCTACATATATTGCATGTTCAATAATTACAAAATACAAATATGAGCTTGCAACGGACTCGGAAAATCACCCTGCAATGATGAATGAATGAGGATTTGATTTTCTATGGGGCACATAAAAGTGTAGAGTGAAGAGTATTATTTCGTGAGATTTTTCAAAAAAAAATCTTGTTAACAGAACACTGTAATCTATCAATAAAAATAAAAGAAATATCACGAGACATAAAACATCAAACACCATGATACAATATGAGAATACCAGAAGAAATATTGTTGGGCAGAATGAAATGCCATTGATCTTCAGTTCTGAAATTGATGATTCTGAAAACAATGAAATGAGCATCTGAAATCTGAATACAGAATTATGTGAAATCGATAAATTTTTTTTGGATGCTAATGCAATCTCTCGAATTTGAGGGAAAATTGCGTGGTACTGTAGATAGAGAATTGTTCACTGAGAAAGTGTTGTTCTTGATAAACCGATATTGTTTCTTCATACAAATTTTTACTTCTGGATACGGAATGAATTTGAAAAATGGCGAATATCGCGCTCAAAAATTAGGAAATACATGGACGCTCGTTATAACTTTGTAGCAATAGATTACAACTGAATGTGAAGTTGAAGGTGAGTTTAGAGATAAATTCTTTGTTTGGATTCTATATATGGTTCTGATTCCAGGGCTATCATGATGGTGTTGTTTAATTCGCATATGTATATGATGCAAAAATGTTGTGTGTTGTGTAATCCATTAGGTGGATCAATGTTATGAGGAACAATTAGAGGTTATTTAGAGTTTTATAATTCTAGCAGCAATAATAGTGAATTGTGATAAACATACAGACTCTAGTTCATCATTGTCATATCACAGAATGAAAATTAAGTAATCTGTAAAGTCAAAAAACATCAATTTCAGTCATCACAAAGTTTTACCTCAACACGACTGGGTATCTACAATTGAATTTCAGACAATGACGTAGGTTTCATATATTGAATGCTAGATGGCGTGATTTCTAGAACTTATGTTCAACGTCACTTCTACCAACCTTTATGCGGCTGAATCTCAAAATGTATTCCCTATCTTCATGGGTCACAATTCGGTCACAATTGTCATATTGATGTCTGTAATTATGGTAAGACACCAGACTAAACTCAGGCAGGTTCAGTTTCGGTCATGCCTTTGAAGTGGTTATAAAAAGCCGCCCTAGGTACGGTACCGCTGAGCTTCAGCTGGACAGAGGGTCCCTTGTTCGGTACACCGATGGTTCGAAAATGGAAGAAGGGGTAGGCGCGGGTGCATATGGACCCGGATGTAGGCTATTTGAAGCCTTAGGTCACTCCCCCACTATCTTCCAAGCTGAGATACATGCCATCAACCTTTGCGCCCAAAGGTGCCTGAGCAAAGGTCTGAGGGGTGCCAATATATATCTGCTCAGACAGCCAAGCCGCACTAAAAGCCCTAGAATCATTTGTTTTCACATCCAAGATCACATGGGACTGCTTTGAAACACTCATGCAACTGGGAAAGGACAACAAATTCACACTTATGTGGGTTCCAGGGCATGAAGGAATCAAAGGAAATGTGGCAGCTGATCGCCTTTCAAAAAAAGGTGCAGCATCTGCACTTTTTGGTCCTGAGCCTTTTTGTGGAATAAGCAAATGTAACCTAAAGGAAGAACTCAGGAAATGGGAAGAAATTGAAAAGTACTCCTACTGGAGAGCAACTCCAGGTCAACGACAAGCGAAAAGCTTCATCAACCATTCGCAGACCCGAGCCAAAGAGCTACTCAGCCTCAGCAAACCAGAGCTAAAGCTTATCAGAGGCTTTCTCACAGGACACGGCCCTCTGAGGTACCACCTCAGAAAGATGGGCCTAGCGGAGACTGACACTTGCCGCTATTGTAACAATGCGACCGAAACCACGGAACACATACTTTGCTCATGTGAAGTATTAGTCCGCCAAAGGCTGAACCACCTAGAACAGGTCTATCTGACCCCTGCTGAGGTGGAAAATTCAACCGTCAGGAAAATTTTGGGCTCCATCAGAAGTCTATGGTTAGAGGACCAAAACTAGATAAGGGTAATCACAATAGATCTTCTAGGTCGCAGTGATCGAGAGGTCTCCCAGCCTATACGACCCTTCTACAATCTACAATCTACAATCTCTAGCGAGATTCACCCTCGCCATGTTATGTTTATAGAAGTAGGCAAAAATCAAGGAATTATAAAACAGGAAAGGATTGAAGTGCATACACCAGAGGTATTTTTCATCAATCTAGAACATCTGTTTCAAAGAACATTTTCATCTACCCTTATCAGATGATCTATGAACGTTTCTTCAGATGAATCACCGATGTGATAGTTTTTCAAACCTTTCGTTATATTGCTGCAGCATATATAATTTGCTCAATATCTCGAAATTCAGTTCACAGAAGAAACAAGAGGTATTAAAATCTCAAATGGTTATTGGTAATAATGATGAAGCTCGAAATTTCACAATGATCCGTTAGTTGATAACATGGCTGGTAAAGCCATCTACTTAAAAAAAATTACTTACCTTTGGGAATGCAGATAGGCCTTATCTGCTTCGTGAAATCCACGGTTTTCCTGAGCTTCAACAGGGCGATATCGTGGTTATAGGTATCAGCATCGAAATTCCTGTGTCTGATGATGGCAGCAACAGCCCGCATCTTGGCAGGAATGTCGCTGGTAGTAGAGGCATCATGGTCGCCCAGTATAATACGAATCTTGGATTTTTTCAACCTGGAAGGAAACATAAAAACTTCACAAACGATAAGATTTCCACAACATATTTTCACACGACATGTTTTGGTAACACTGTAGCTTCATCAGGTGATGATGAAAGAAAACAGTGTATTCGCAACAGCACAGGAGGATGTGATGTTTAGATCACAAAAATGTTTTTTGAAAAACACTTTTTGCTCGTGATTGTCTCTACCATTGTTTGGGTTTTCGAACGTATGTATCTCGGATACGATTAACTCTCAGACATATACGTCTATAGGAATTTTCCTTCTTGTTTCCACTTCAGCAGCAACACGCTCCTACATTTTCCACATGTACTTGAAAATCACCCTGTACAGCACGTGTCCACGCCTCTTTTTATCTCTGTATATGGTCATTCGACATTATATAGTTGTGTCAGTCAATAAATATCAACTAACTATAAACAAAGGATGTTTTGTTTTGTCTTCCAAATCATCACTTTGTTCGTATCTATAGCTAGGCAAATGTTATATAAATTATAAGATGAATAAAATCACGTTGTCCGATATTAGTGATTCGGGAAAGATAGTGAAACGTTATATAGCTTATGTGATTTTTCAAATAAACTGACTTTACTGACCGCTCTTCAATTCGATCAGAACGCTATCAACAAATGTTCAAAATTTGGCAATTAATAATTATTTAGAGGATGATAAAAATACTGATTTAATTGTCGTTTGTTGTGATCATCTTGATATAATAAACTAAATATTCAATAATATATCTTTTTCTATAAATGGCTATTTATTCTGGTTTCTGAAGATGACCTGATGGGAGTTTAAAATAGCTGTCAGGCTATCAGAAAGAATTCCAATTATAAGCTGTTTGTATAGGAAATTTTATAAATTTATTTTGAATCAATTGGAAGGCTACATTTTGTTTATGTGGCTTATAGCAACGGGTGATTGTCATGATGATTTTGTTAGTTCCTATCAACTTAATGGAATTAATAAGTGATAATGTTTCTATCTATTGGCAAGTCACTCATCAGTTCCATTTGAAACTATGTAGGCTTCATCTTCTCATCATATTGAAAGCAACTAGAAATTATGTGACATTTTCTCGTACCGTAGCAGACATTTTTTCCTCGGTTTCACTCATGTGACCTTGAAATCAATAATCAGTAATAATTCGGCTAGCTGAGAGATTATTAGTGATAATAAAGACTTGTAAAATGAAGAATGAAGAAACGAACCTCCTCACACAATGAGCAGCAGTGAGAACGTAATCCTCAGTGAGGAGAGAGGCTCCACAATGGTAGTGACCGTCATACACGATTCTTGCAACCCATGGATAGCGATTCACACCTGTTGGTCTTCCGCCTACTATCCTGTTCTCTGGATTGGACAGTCCACATTCTGGAATTTGAAAAAGAGAAAATGTTTTGGTATCTGCACCAATAGTTCATGACTTGCTATTGAAATTTTGAAGATTTCTTCAGGTTCAGCTTTCATGAAGACTCATCATTGAAATCTCGTAAACCGAAAGATGCAGAAAGTTGCGCAATTTTACATCTAACAGAATGCCGTTTTGAAATTTGGGAAATTATGAATACTTCCAAAGCTTTTTTTCAAAAAACCGAATATCCGCGATTTCATTCTTATTTTTTTATGACTATTCCACTCTTGGTCTCTATAGAATCAATCAGAATCGGCCATTTTCACGGCTTCTTCTGTTTTACCGCGATATTTTTTTGTTCACTAAATTTTACTAAATTTTATCGGACTTGCTCTACCAATACAGAGGCCGAATAAACCCACACGTGACCAACCTCCCTCGTATTTAAGCGATATGATTTCGGACGTTCTAAACTTCAATTTTGAGTATTTTGAGTATTTTGAGTAGATTTTGAGTATCAGAATCAAAAATTCTGCTGGGGAAGATGGTGTTTCAGCGAAAATTTTCTTGAATTTGCCTGATTCTGCACTAGATGCATTAGCCTCCGCTATCAACAACTCATAGCAAACTGGGCATTTTTCTCTCTGCATGAAATCAGCCATGGTAATTCCTTTATACAAAGGAGGAAAAATCGACCAACTATCAAATTATCGCCCAATATCATTGCTAACGACCCTATCGAAAATAATCGAAAAACTTGTAAAGATTCGCCTCATGGCCTTCATGGAACGCCACAACCTACTTAATCAAAATCAATTCGGTTTTAGAAGCAATAGAAGTTCCAATGATGCAATGTTCAAACTTTTGGAACACCTATATGGTCAAATAAACGATGGTAATATAGTCGCAGCAGCGTTCTGTGACTTAACAAAAGCCTTCGACTGCGTAAATCACAGAATATTGCTGCGAAAACTTGAATATTACGGATTCAGAGGATGTGCCCTTAATTGGTTTCACTCCTACTTAGAGAACCGCACACAAAAAGTGTTCATCGGTCAAGAATCATCGGAATGCGGGTACATAAATTGCGGCGTTCCACAAGGGTCAGTTTTGGGACCAGTACTCTTTTTGTTATACTTGAATGATCTGGCGCTTCTTAATGTCCAAGGCAAGTTCACCCTTTTTGCTGATGATACCACCATCTTGTGGCACGGAAAAGATTCTTCAACATTAAAGGAAACAATCCAGAATGACTTAGTAAAGATAAAGGAATGGTGCGACTCTAATTCGCTCGCCTTGAATATCAATAAGACCAAATTACTCACGTTCAAGTGTGACATGACAGGTATAACTATTGGTCATGACCCACTAGAACGTGAACACCACACAAAATTTCTTGGCTTAATTCTTGACAACGAGCTGAAATTTGATGATCACATCTTGGCTCTAAGTAAAAAACTGGCCTCGGGGTGTTACGCCGTAAAAATGGCTACAAGCGAGATTGGTTCAGAAACAGCTAAAACAGTGTATCACGCTCTTATAGAGTCCCACCTCAGATACGGTATTGCTTTCTGGGGCATGTGCAGCCAACAAAGGTTCAATAGCATTTTCATTCTACAGAAGAGGGCATTACGATATATATGTAGGGTGTCTCCCAAACATTCATGCAGGCCGCTCTTCGTCTCTCAGAGAATACTCACTCTACCTTCTTTACTAGTACTAGAAAGCGTGTGCTTAGTCTTTAAAAATCGTGACAATTTAGATAATCCCCAGTTGTATCACAGAACACGTAGGACATATATAATCTCAAACTACCTCTACCTATACCTTCCTCGAACCTGACCAGAAAATCACTTATATACGAAGGCATAAAAATATATAACCACCTACCCTTACGCCTGAAGACTATTAACTCTTTCAAAAATTTTAGAGAATCTGTTAAAGAAGCATTACTTGATGGAGCTTACTATACTTTGGAGGAGTACTATTCTGAGATGTGGTAGAGTATTTTTTGTACTAGTTATATTTCGTTTATTTATATGACACGACTTTATAGATTGAGTCAAACTTATTATTTTACACGGATTTTTTGTTCGACTTATATGTTTTTATATATATACACACAAACTTACTTTAATTAGTAAGTGAAATTGTTTATTTCAAATGTATTTTTTACGACTTATACTTTTTTATATATTTATATACCTGACTTCATAGGTTAAATGATATTTTCTTATGACAATAAAGTATATATTCTCTCTCTCTCTCTATGTTGGAAGCCAGAATGATGGATGCAGTGTGCGCAACTCTCGCTAGCCGCTCGCTTATTGCCTCAATCATGGCATACTCATACGAATACAACTCGTGTTACTATTTTTCCTGTAAATATTCGTCGATTGACATACTCCAGCTTGCTGCTCCATTTTCGCTCATGACACTGTTCTAAAACTTCTCGGCCTACGGCTCGAAAATTATGATAAACAATGTCATTCGGTGAAATTATTAGGTAACAATTGCCTAATTTTACCGGCAAAATAGTATCTTCTTCTTCTTTTTTTTCGATGCACTGGTGGGCGGGTGAACACCCCTGGACCTATAGGCCTACTTATTCGGGCCCACATGTTCCGATATTCAGCTGGGAATGCCGACTTCCTAGGAGAAGTTCAGCAGCTTCCTCAGTGTTGGACACTCAGTGAGGACATGCGATGATGTTTCGTCATCTTCCAGGCACCATCTGCAAAGTGGATCATCTTCGATCCCAATAAGCTCTAGGTGCCTATTGAGGTGGTTGTGCCCCGTTAGGAGCCCCACTAACATTTGAAGGTCTCGCCTGTTGAGGAATATAACCTCTTTTGTGAGCCTCTCCGAAGATTTCTTTATGTGGAGCTTCCATTGTCTCATTCCGGGTGTCCTGCCATATTTTGAAGAATTGCTTTTGCAGGTGTCCCTCTATGAAGGCCATTACCGGAATGTTTGATATTCCCAAGTTTGGTTCCGGTCTGAACCCATCTTGGCCAGTCTGTCTGCCTCCTCGTTTCCAGGTATTCCCGAGTGTCCCGGAACCCACATGAGGCTGACTTTTCTTGATTTTGCCAGGTTTTCTAAGGCCTCTCTGCACTCGGACACCAAATTCGTTAAGATCCTATTGGATTGCAAAGCCAATATTGCAGATTTGCTGTCCGAGCATATAGTGATTGGTCTACGACCTCTCATGATTAGATTTTCTTATACACAGGTAGGTATTGCGAGTACTTCAGCCTGGAACACTGAGGCATATTCGCCCAAAAGAACCGAGATTTCTTTTCTGCACTTGTGGTATTACATAGGACTATTTGAATAGATGTAACAATGTTATATTATACATCTAGGGTGAGAAGTGAGCTATTTATAATATATATGCTAATATTCAAGGAGCCGATTATTCGACCCATTTCAAGAATTAAACTTCATATGTACGAATCTCCTTAACGTCCTGACTTTTGAGATACAGGATGTCAGTGTGGAAAATATGCATAGATTATTTTTTTGTGTACCCTGTATCATTTCGTGATGGCAAAATTCTCCTATGTGACTGAATCGGTATGAAAATTCAAAAATGTTACATACTGTGGTTATCCAGCAATGGATGGAAGCGTAATATCGAAAATCAACAAGAGGATCTTGTTTGTACATATTTGTATAGCCTTTTATACAGTGTGTCCACCTTAAGGACTTACCACCCCTGTGAAATTGTTATTATCTGACCGATTTCAAAAAACTTATTTTTGTTGGATAGGTATTTGAAATGTACATCCAACAAGAGAGTGATTTTACTCATCAACTGTAATCGTGGCCAACTGCGACCAACTTTATTGACCCATATTTGAGAAAGTACTATTAGGGATTTTTGTTCACAAAAAAACAATGATGGATTCTGAATCACGATCACTTGAAAAACACCTTTACTGATTTTTATCATCATAAAACACAGGGTGTCCGAAAAAAACGAATTAAGTTTTTTTTTAATAGGTGATCACAAAATGTAGTATTGTGGTATTTTTGAGAAGAATTGATGATAAATTATTATTTAAGATCACTTTGAACTTATCTGTACCGATTTTCATCATTCAAAAATACGATGTGTATGAGAAAACAATTAAAAAGAAAAAGTAGGCAATATTTTTCCATCAACTCAAAAAAAATATTAATTTGATTTTTCGAACACCCTGTGTTTAATGAATCGGTACAGGTATGTTCCAAGTGATCCTGATTCATCTTTTTATTTTGAGTGGAGAATTATCAGGATGAAAAATATTGCTTACCTATCCTTTTTAATTTTTTTCTCAGACACATTGTATATTCAAATGACGAAAATTGGTACATATTATTTGAAATAATCCTCAATGATAATTTGTAATTATTTCTTTCTAGAAAAACCACAGAACTACATTTGCTGATCACCTATTTGAAGAAAATGATGATTCGTTTTTTCGGACACCCTGTGTTTTATGATGATGAAAATCCGTACAGGTATATTTCAAGTGGTACTGATTCAGAATCCATCATCAAGTTTCGTGGAAAAAAATTCCTAATAGTACCTTCTGGAATATGGGTCATTGAAATTTGTCGCAGTTGGCCACGATAACAGTCCAAGAATTAGATCACTCTCTCGTTGAATGGGCATTTCAAATACCTATCCAACAAAAAAAGGTTCATTGAAATTGGTCGGATAATAACGATTTTACAGGGGTGGTAAGTCCTTAAGGTGAACACACTGTATAGCACTATACAAAATTTCAAAATTTTCCGTCGTTGCTCACTTTCAAGTAGAATATAAACAATAATATTCCCGTAACGGTGCCGCACTGGTAGAGAAAATGAAAATTTTTTTACGTCAGAAAATGCACCTTGATGCATAAAAGACGTATACCAAATTTCATGAAGATATTGACAATATTGTCTCACTTATTATCGAAAAACTGAATATTTTTCGAAACTTCATCACCCTGTATCTCAAAAGTTGTGACTTTTAGGACATAAGTTCATATAAAGTTTTCTTCTTGAAATGAATAAAAGAATCACCCTCTCAAATATTAGCAAGTCTTTGAGTAACACCCTGTGTAATATTTTGTCCCTACTAACCCGGCTAAATCAACATCTCAGGATGATATTGAAATGTTTGATGTTTGCTTAGGAGTTTAGTAGTCGAACAAACTGAAAGGAAAATCGACTTGGGTGTCAGAAAATGAACTCTGTATTAAAATTCAGCAGCAATGAGAATGTGTAATTTTTTTTGTTACATATATTCAAAAAGAATCAATAAAAAATGAGAATGAAATCGTGAATATTCGTTTTTTTTCAACAATCTTTGGAAGTATTCAGAATTCTTCAAATTTCAAAACGGCATTTTGTCAAACATAAAATTGCACAACTTTGCCATCATTTGATCAACCCTGTATCTGATGAGGTTCAAATTCCACCCACCCTGTACCATGCCCTATGCCATTTTTCACTTTGACTCACCACACGAACAGTTTTTTGCTTTCACTTCATTGCTGTCTGTATCATCGTCATCATCATCCAGAGGAGAAAATCCTGTTGTACCCCCTCCACCAAACAAGCCAGCGAATCCAAAGAGTTGATTGAAAAGAAATCTACCCTCTCTTGATTTCACGTTGGTCGAGTTTGGAGATGATAACAATTTAGATTCGTCCTGGAAATAAAGAAGAATAGGATAGGAACACTCGCAATAATGTGGAAGTTTTCTATATTGAGGTTTTAATCTCCTGTGAAGTTTGTAAAAAATTAATATATACGTATTTTTGAATTTTTTCGTAAGATCAAATTTCACTTCAGAAAAAAAAAAAAAAAAGAGATACTTGGCTCCTCCACCATTTCTATGATGTACTTTTTGAAAATACACATTCAGACAGAATTAGAATACGATTTCCTGTGCCAGTAAGACGTTGACGACATCATAAATATGTCCAGATTACCGGAAATTGTTCTTTGAATGCATAAAAACTATAACATAACAGCAATGGGATATAATCGGTTCATCAATCCTACTTTGTCAAGTATTATGAATAATTCCCAATGATCTCTCATTGACTGAATAAAGTTGATTACTAATAAAGATAAATTAGGATATTTTGCGATAGTATCTACGATTTTTCACTATCGTTATATTACAATATGTTATTCATAACTTGTCAGTCATTTTTTTGCTAATGACTTCGTTCCTCAATAAAACGGATCTATTTTCTAGGAAAGACGCAGATTATATCTTGCAACAGCGCCTAATACTTCGAGTCCGTCCACACCACTCAAAATACTGACAGGCACAACAAGAGGAAGGAGCCATGGGTTTCGGCTTCATTCTCTTGTGACCGATGGCAGTAAATTAGGAAAGATAGTATCATTGAATGTAGCTGATATTGATTCATTGATTCAATGATATTTCCGTTTAGGATCCAGCTCTATTCGAGATATTTCAATGCATAAATAACGAAACTATAACCTGTCAGAATGAAGCAAACTACCTTCTGAATTCCTGCTCCGAGAGCATTTGTGGTTATGTATGTTTTTGTTTACCAGTTTTACTTCTTCTTCTTCTATTTTTTTCATTCGTTTTCCATTCGTTAGCTATTCGATAGCTATTCGTTAGCTATTAGCTATATTCAGACTAGATTCAGAATGTAGAAATTGCTTCAATTCGAAAACGAAAATGACTCGAACTTAATCGATCGCCATTCGGTACAGCGTGGACATAAAACTGGAAAGTTTCGAACTTATTTTACGAAAATTCATCTAAAGGAAACTTCCCCATATTCGTTTCGGCTAGATAATTTTGTTCATTTATATGATTTCGGGTTTTTTACTCTCTGTAAAGGATTCCACCTCCAGGTATTCTGTAGGTAGTAAGGCAGTACCTGACCTCAATTCAACCACATTTCAACAACCCTTGCAATCAGTATTCGTTTATACCAATTACTGCATGTTTCTTTGCCAGTTGTATACCATATCTGTTCAATTATTATTCGAACATTTTGTAGAAATGACTTCGAGTTTCCACTCTTTTTGAAGAACATAAATAACCATTCATTTCAATTTAAGAAAATACCTAGTGCGTAATTCATAACTATTATCGATTTCATTCTCAGAAACTCAATCGAATGAAATGAATCATAATTTGCATACCATGAAAAAAACACTTTCTAATTAGTTTTTTTTGGGAATTTGAATATCAATAGGCCACAGCAATCAATAATTATTTGGCACGTGGCTTTCTAATCGACTCATAATGTGCATGATATCGATCTATCAAAGAATTTTACTTTTTACCGGCTGATGATTCCATATATACAAATCCAGTATATTTTTGGCTGCTACAAGATCAATCAAGAATATCAGAAAACACTATAATGATCCATCAATAGCATTACCATTCAGACGAACTCGACAAGCCCAGTCAGCACAACATTTCGTTGTCAACCTTGGAATATGTCGAACCACACTTTACCAAAACTCGTTTGTCTACAGAACGGCAAAGCTTTGGAATCATTTGCCTATAGAAGTATTCCCAAGAGCTTATATCCTTCAAAGGAAAATACACCACAGTTCTTCAAGCTGAGGTGTTCGCCATCCTGGGCGTAGCAGAGAGGCAAGAGGTTACGTTGTCTCATTGAAATTTCATACACCAAAATGGTATATGAAGGGTAATTGCCAATGAGATGAAGGGTATGCGCTCTCAGGGCACGGGGCCCTTCATTTATTGAGAACCCGTTTTTCATTTATAAACTCGATTTTCCGACTATGCGCATTGACAACAATTCCAGAATTAGTTGCATCACATTTTTTCAACTCAAAAACTTACATTGCTTCTTTCCCAAGGAATGTGAGTCAATGTGTATAATGCGAATATTTTTATTCCATGTTAACCTCTTTTTCTGTGAGAAAATCAAATTGAAGAATTGATTGGTTTGAAATTTTATATTTTGAGGTATTTCCAATCGCCTTTTTTTTCTAAAGTCGTTGCTCCTCTCCCAAGGTGTGTGAGTCAATATGTGTATACCGCCTTTCTTATTATATCATCATGACCAATTTTTCTGTGAGGAAATCGAATTGAAGAATTATTCGGATTGTAATTTCATTTCTTCAGGTATATTCAATCGTTTTCGCCAAATATTTGCTCTTCCAAGGTACGTTACACCTCTCCCAAAGTATGGTGAATATCGTCATTCTTTTTATATCATCTCAACTTATTTTTCGGTGAGAAAATACATTGAAGAATTTATTGGTTTAAAATTTCACTTTTTGAGGTATATTCGTTCGTTTTCTTTAAATATCTCATCTTTTAAGGTACATTGCACCTATCCCATGGTATGTAAGTCAATTTGTATACCGTAATTCTTTCAATATCATCTCAACCTATTTTTCTTTTTATATCATCTTGACCTATTCTCCTGTGAGAAAATCGAATCGAAGAATTGATTGTTTGGAATTTAATTTTTTGATGTATATTCCATCCTTTTTTCCAAATATCTCCTCTTCCAAGATATGTTGCTTTTATATGCTTATATAAGTCAATGTGTATACCGCCAATCTTTTTAATTCACCTTAACCCTCTTTTTCTGTGAGAAAATCAAATTGAAGAATTGATTCAGGAATTCCCTTTCATGCGCTCCAAGAGATTAAAAATATAAAGTGAATCACCCTGTACAAATTATTGAGAAATTAAGATATATAGGTATTTATCACCTATTCTCGCCTCTCCTATTATCACCTATTATCAAATTATTCTTGCATCTCTTTCATGCTCATCTTTTCTCATGTCATTGTAAAACAAAGTGAAATCAATATGTTGATTTATCATTCTGCAAAACTAATTAATATATGTACATTTTCATTATGCTCATCGAATTCAAGGCTCCACATTCATGGGGAGTACGTAATAAAATGGATGCATTAGCCTGACCTAACCAGAGAAAAAAACCTATACCTGTACCATACATTTGTTGTTTTTTTTATTCAATTATGCAATGTATTCCGTCATTGATGACTTGATAATTGAATGTAAAATCATTGTAGATTTCACTTATACAGCCTGGGTTTTTAAAAATAGGAGGAAGATAATGAGAAAAAAAAAAGATGATTTGAATGAATGTATTGAAAAGAACTATTTGAAGGTTTTGTTTTACATCATTGAACTGAATAGTAGAATTCTCTTTTTTCAAGTGAGCTGTTATGAATAATTATCAACGTTTTTGAAATGGAAATGAGCGATCATGGACTTTGGTGAATTATTTTCCTGATTGACAATTTTTTTACCTTTGGGTAGAAAGCAGGGGTAGTTGAATTTGTTTCATCATTGAAAATAGTATATTGTTTACGAGTCTGGAATTATAGTAATTTTCCACGAGATTGAAGTTGGCAGTATGAGCCTTCGGCGAATGCTGCAATCATTCGAGTGGGAAATTAGCATTCCGTGCGAGTTATATACTATAACTTTTCTACGACTGTAACAGATAACAGCGGCATTTTTTATTTCTTCGTCTTGTGGCCATCTGATTTCTCCTCAATTAATGCTCATCTATTAGACAGAGCTGTCATTGCTTGAAATTTGACATTCCATGGGCGAAAATGTTAGGTTAGTGACCGTATCAACAATAATAATAGCGATTATTTCTTTCTTTCCATGCTCCACTGTGTTTGGCTCGATGATCGAATGAAGGTAAACAATGTTGTTGTTTGAGATAAAAAAATATTGCTGGTCGTGATTATTCAGGAACAAGGAATCCATCCCCGAGTCCATCCCGAGGATAACGAATGAAATACAGATCAAGCAAGTATGTGCATCTTGAAGGCTTTCCTGATCAAAACAAAAATACTTAACTATAATATGGTATATTTATATCTCCAGCATGGGTATGAAATGCCAAATCTGCCGAAATCGGAGACAAATCAGGTATGCGTCCCAACAACGATGTTTTTTATACTTGATGACCTCTAGTACATCCTTTTGAGTTCCAAAAAAGCTAACGTTCAACTTCAGCAACATACCTATGATTGTGTCAGTAATAGAAACGTCAATTCAAGAGCTAATTTTGGTATTAAAATAGACGACTTTTGTGTTGATTGCAGAAAACGAATATTCATTACCTATTCAAGATTTTTTGGGATTTTCTCTTCTCGTTTCTATAAAATATAAATATGAGTATTATTTCAATATACTTGTAGTGAGGACAAACCAGATTTTTTGCCCAATATATGTAACTGCGTAAGAAAAATATTCTATCAGAGAGCCTAAAAGGTAAATGTATCCACTTGTCAGTGATACTTTTGTATTTAAAAAAGGTTTGGAGAAGACAGTAGGAATTTTACAAAATGGGACAAATTTGGTAGTGTGATGGTTCTTATTAAATAAAATTGGTACTATATCTGACTTTGATAACATTTTCATTATCAATTTAATGATATTTTGATGACGAATATCTTTACAGTTGATTCAGTAATGCACATCTTCAAATATGTAGCTATTTAATAACTTAAAATACCAGACGTAACTTTGGTACTTGGTATACAACTAAGTATAGGCATTTGATATATCTGTGTAATCTCCTTGTTTATAAAAATGTAATTTTTCAGGAAACAATAAATGTATTGATTGATTGATTGATTCAGTAATTCTATGGGCGTACCCACGGGGTGAGTCGTTCGTTCAAAATATAGCACCCAGTAGTTTTATATAATTTTTTTATCCTTCTATACAGGATGGCATAGAAATAAATGCAAATATTTCAAACACTGAGAAAGCTCGACTATCGAATGGCACTAATAAAAAAATTTAGGGATCAAAATAAAATTTGAGGTTAGACCCCTTTTTCCACCCAAAGTTCTACACTGTAGCAAATCTGACGTCACCTAACTCTGTTCAAATTTCTATGCGGTAGACACAATCACGCGGAGTTCAATCATTTAAATAGTTTTAAAATGGCGTACTTGATTTTTTCCCGTGTTTTGTTCAATTTTTGGGATGAAATTTCTCGTTAATTAAAATAATTAAAAATAATCTGATATCACGAGAATATTCCCTAGACTGTATCATATATGTGCTGAATATGTGCACTTATTGTATATATCTTTTTTTTTTTTTTTTTTTTTTTTTTTATCGCTTGGAGCGCACGAGAGGGAATCCCTATAATGTTCAAAGAACATCGTGCGTTCCTAGGGAGGATAGGGACAGGAGGTAGGTATTGGAATTTTTTTTGAACTTTTGGAGATTATATGTTGTTGGGAACACTTCCACAGGCAATGAATTCCAGAGCCTAGCCGTTCTATGGATGAAGGAGTCTTGATAAAGTGCTGTTCGACATCTTTCGAGGTTGACAACGAAAGGATGTGCTGACTGGGCCTGTCTAGTTCGTCTGATTGGTATCGCTAGTGAAGGAATGATAGCAGAGATTTCCGAAGAACATTTCCCGTGGAAGTATCGATAGAAAAGTGAAAGGTCGCCGACCTTTCTACGGTGTTCTAATGATGCCAAAGAGTGAGTGAGTGTGGCGTCACCCACCAGGCGAATGGCTCTTCTCTGGATGGAATCTAAGAGCATCAGCGTATGTTTTGGTGCTGATCCCCATATGTGGGAACAGTATTCTAGAACAGGCCGTATCTGCGCTTTGTAGATCATGAGAAGCTGTTGAGGTGTAAAGTAGCTTTTCGCACGGAACAAGAATCCGAGTTTTTGGGAAGCAGCTTTTGCGATGGATCTGACATGATTATCCCATGAAAGAGTGTTGCTGATGGAAATACCGAGCATAGATATGGTGGGCTTGGTGGAGATGGTGGAGCCAGACATTACAATATCGGGCATACTGAGTTCCGCCTTTCTAGAGAAAATGCAGGCTTGAGTTTTGGTGGCGTTGAATTCAACTAGGTTGTTTGTTCCCCAGGCTGTGATTTCAGCAAGATCTTCATTGACAGCATTGACCTGCCTGCGCCGTGAGGTCTTAGTTTCCTGGGAAGAAATGGGAATTCTGGAAGAGAAAGCAGTATGGAGGGTACTATCATCTGCAAAGCTGTGGATGGGGCAAGTTGTTACTCCCAGCAGATCATTGATATGAAGCAGGAATAATGTTGGTGCCAAAATTGATCCTTGTGGAACGCCAGAATTGATGCCAATGGTATCAGACGATACACCGTCCACTACCACGTGAAGCGATCTGCCTGAAAGAAAACTCGATAAGAGATGGCATAGCTGAGGTGGTAAGCCGTATGATGGTAGTTTGTGGAGGAGTCCTTCGTGCCAAACACGGTCGAATGCTTTCGATATGTCCAACGCGACAGCTAGAGATTCCCCGTGTTTTTCTATTGAAGATTGCCATAAATGGGTGACGTAGGCAAGTAGATCTCCAGTAGATCTTCGGTGGCGAAAGCCGTATTGTCTATCATTAATGATTCCTGGGCTCTCCAGATATTTGATAAGCTCAATATTGATGGCTTTCTCCATCACTTTGGAGATTACTGATAACAGGGCAATGGGCCTGTAGTTGTTGGGCAGGTTCTTGTTCCCTTTCTTGGGGATTGGTTGGACTCTAGCTGTCTTCCAGCATGATGGAAAAATACCCGACCTGTACGAGATGGTAAACAACTTGCAGAGAATCGGTGTTAATTCTGGTGCACATTTTTTGAGGATAATGGGTGGAATTCCATCAGGACCGTTAGCTTTATTCGTTTTGAGACCAAGCAAAATTCGTCTGATAGTGCGTTGACGGAAGACGATTTCGGGCATTCGACTCTCAACGGGTGGAATGTCTGGCGGCACTTTTCCTTGGGAATCTAAAGTAGAGTTTGCTGCGAAAATTTCTGCAAAAATATTCGCTTTCTCCTGCGATGTTGTTGCTAATGTGCCGTCGGATTTGGACAGTGGTGGAAATGAACTGTTAGTGAAATTTCTTCCGACCGCTTTAGCAAGGGACCAAAACGAACGGGAGCCATTGGGACAATCTATGAGTTTCGATCTGATCTTGGCATTGTATGTTTCTTTCGAAGCATCTATTGTTTGGCTGCAGTTATTCCTGGCATCAACGTATTCTGCTCTAGTCGCGAGGTTAGGGTTTTTGCGCCAGCGATGGTAGGCTGTTTGTTTCAAGGCAACAGTTCTAGAACAGCTTTTGTTGAACCAGGGTTTCGAAGGTGATGATCTTTTCGAAAAATGAGGTATGAATGTTTCCATTCCGAGCATGATGATCTCGGATATTTCCGCAGCACACTGTGAAGGGTCCTCAGAGTCAAAGCATACTCTATGCCAAGGAAACTCGGAGAAAAACATGCGGAGACCGTCTCCTTCTTTAGGAAAAAAACAAAAACCATCAAGTACTGGCCCGACCTACTGAGGTAAAAAACACACAGAAGTTTCCTAGGTGCATGCACCTCCAGTGCCCTAGAAGTGGTTCAGAATCCACTATAAGCTGTAGGTCCCGCTCTTCTTAATCTCGCAAAAATTTCGTCTTCTGGGGAGTTGGTTCCAGTTTCCCAACTCCGAAATAGCGATATACAAATTTCAAAAATGTTACAACAAAAATCCCGAAATTCTTCCTTGTTGACTATTTTCTGAAATATACATACCAACCTACTTATCAATCTAGAGGGTGACCATGGTGAAATAGTGAATATCAAGAAAGTATATAGTAGTAATAGGTAGGTACATACAGGTATACTCACTTTATCACCCAAAGTCGAATAACATTTTACAAGGCCCCCCAACAAACTCAAAATAATACAAATTCTCCAGAAAAAATCGAACCTCACTATCTTCATTACTATCGCTTATGAAGAACTATACTCTTTTCCACACATCCCTAAAATCACTATCGCTACTCAGCAAGATTAAAAAAAGTAAGGTTATACTATCACCGAACAGATGAAAATCGACAGTGATCGGGCACAGGCACCTTGATGGTGCTTTCACCGTCTACTTACGACTGAGAATTAAGAAATTCTTTCGCCATAACCTTCAGAAGAAAGTAAGTTAATTGTGTGTTTTGCAAGCTGCAATAGATCCTCACAGGACATTTTGTTTTATTTTTTGGAATATATATTATGGCTGAACGAAAGCACTTGACAGTGGTGTACTATAGAACAACCAGTTCCTATAAGAATTAAATCTCATTGACTCAATCTATATCTAATAATAGAAGTGCACAAAAAACGCCCAGGATTGTAACTTTTGAATAATTATTCGGGATAGGGTTTTAAAATTGGTGGTAAGGTGGTAGCAAGTATACCAAATTTCTCATTAATTGATGAAACAATATTTTTCTTCTATCACTTCCAGTTTCACTGGAAACGACCCCAACTTCTGATTTTTAAATGTTGGATCCTATAATCGTTTGAAGATTATCATGACGAATTCAATACCGGGTTTGATAAGGTTATTTCAAACGATTACAAAGATATTTGCGTTCGAAGTTTCCATATGCGCAATGGGTGTGACTTCGCAATATCAAAACTTCTTTCTCTGTCACACTCATTGAGCATATGGAAATTTAGGACGTGAATATCTGCGTAATCGTTTGAAATAACCCTATCGAACCCGGTATCGATGAATTCGGTATGACAATCACTAACCGAATATGGAATACAATACAGGGTGTCCCTTTTAATAATCGAAAGTTGGGGTCGTTTCCAGTAAAACCGGAAGTGATGGAAAAAACATTGTTTCGTCAATTAATAAAAATTTGGTATACTAGCTGCCCACTAATTTTCAATGCCCTATCTCGAACAATTCGGAAGTTACAGTCCTGGCCATTTTTGTGTGCTTCTCTGAATAAAAATAATTGATTGTCTGTATGTCCTTTATAGACATTTTTTTTTTGTTGTGTTTGTTAATGTCAGGAGAACGTTCTCATGAGAGAAAACGTTAAGAAATTCAAGATGGTGGATCCAATATGGCGGACAAGTTTTGTAATTATAATCCGATTCTATTCAAAATTTGTATCTAGGAGTTTTTGGGGTCGGAGATTATGTTTCTCTTGTCAAAATTGGAAAATTCGAGATGGCGGATGCAAAATGGCGGACGAGTTTTGTGCTAATGATCCGATTTTATTCAGAATTGGTATCTGGGGTTTTTGTGGTTGATCGGAGATTATAATTCTTTCCTCAAAATTTGACCGTTTCAATATGGCGGACTACTTTTGTGATTAGGATCTGATTCCATTCAAAATTGGTGTCTAAGGATTTTCGGGGTCGACAATTATGATTCTATCATCAAAATTCAAGATGGCGAATCCAATATGGCGATCAAGTGTTGTGATAATTATGATCCGATTCTATACAAAATTGGTATACGGGGGATTCTAGAGTCGAAGATAACGATTATTTCCCCAAAATTTTAAATTCAAGATGTATTCATGATCCGATTCTATTTAAAATTGCCCGGGGTTTTCGCGTTCTGAGAATATGATTCTTGCGTCAAATTTTGGATATTTAAGATGGCAGATCCAATACGGCATACGAGGTCATCAATAATGATCCGATTATATTTAAAATTAGCATCTGAGGATTTTCGGGTTCGTCATTATCAGAAAATGCAAGATGGTGAATTCAATATGTCGAACTAGCTTTGTAATAATGTTTCCAATGAAACATGTTTTCATAGATAGTCAAACTGAAAAGAATTAGAAAATGAATTGTAGTAGTAGTAGTAGTTGACTAACCAACTAAGAGAACACGTTTTTGTGGTATGTCAAACTGAACAGAAGTATAAAATAAAATAATGAAAGTGTATTGTTAAATATTGAACTGGAAAAATATTTCCTAGAAATAATATATGTACAATCAGAAATCAGATGCAATGAACATATCGCACCTAAACGGTGATAGCACTTCAAGTAACTTCTGCAGTAAGAGCGCTGACACCATCCAACCGCGACATGTTCTTTGCATCTGACTATACATAGCAAAACAACGTTCGCCTGGTGAGCTATAATCAATAAAATTACGCGGAATAAATTCAATATTTGTATAGTGTCTTTCCTTCAAATTCATTTTTTCTGCAACCGACACAAAAGTCGTCCATTTTGATACCAAAATTAGCTCTTAAATTGACGTTTCTATTACTGACACAAAAATAGGTATGTTGCTAGGCAACATATTTAGTTCCTAGGAGCTAGTTGAATTTTAGTTCCTAGGAGCTAAAGTTGAACTTCAGCTCCTAGGAACTGAATAAGATCTACTGGACGTCATCAAGAATAAATAACATTGTGACGGTTGGTTATTTGGGTTGAGACGCATACCAGATTTGTTTTCGATTTCAGCAGATTTGGCATTTCATACCGATGCTGGAGATATTAATACACCTTATTATAGTTTAGTATTGAAATTATAAACATCTCAGTTGAGTATTTTTGTTTTGATCAGGGAAGCCTTCAAGATTCAAATTCTTGCTTGATCTGTATTTCATTCGTTATTCTAGGGATGGATAACTTGTTTTTGAATAATCACGGCAAGCAATAGTTTTTTGTCTCGAACAACAATATTGTTCACCTTCATTTGATTATCAAGCGAAAAACATTGTATTATGGAGAGGAATAAATAATCGCTATTATTATTATTGTTGATATGCTCACTAACCTAACATTTTCCACGTCTTGTTCCTATAGCTGGCACTGGCGCGGTATTTGCCATTAGAGCACCTGGTCCATACACAAATATGTCACTCTGTGGTTGTATTTATATTGAAACTACAATTCTAACATCCTAGAAAACCTAACCTGCTGTTAATGCAGGTAGAATATTCTCACCACATAGATTATTTGTCAATATTTGTTGCATTGCATACATATGGCACGGCATTGGTGGTTACTTCACATGTTTATTTGAGTTAATTGTTTCGGTTGCAGAAAAAATAGCATGTTTCATTCCATTCGGAACTAAAGTGACTTTGTTCGACTCGCGACTTGTCAAACAAAGTGTCACTTTTGATCCTAATAAAACAATCTACTATTAGTTAGTAGCTACTATACTAGTACTACTTTTCTTAAGGACTTATACGAACTTTAAGGCTGCCACTGTGCTTGTTCTCGCACCAATGGCTACTTATTGATTTTTTTGGCAACTCGATCAGAATCGAATCATTGATCAAATGAATTAAATAGAAAATGAAGAATCGGCTTACCTATAATAATTGCTTTCTTTCCGCCTATGAAGAAAGCAAACCCATTCGGTGTGAAGGGGAAAGCTATAAGCCACTGAATAAATAATATCCTCAGTTTGACATACCGTACGACTCGTACCTACGTTATAATCACTATAATGAAAGTGAAGATCTCATGAATTATGGATCACCGTTTTATTCATGATAACACAACATAACAAAATAGAATAGAACAATAACTGTACATTACGTTTTGAGAATCGATCTCCCAAATACGAAATATACCCTAAATACTACAATAATGTAAAAAAACTTCACAATAGATAAGATTTCCACAAATTTTTGTGAAGTGCACCACCCCCTATATCTATATTTCATTTTCCACAGTAGGAAAAAATGTAATTGAGTCAAATAATACATCATAACAACATGAGGAAAATGTGCACCAGAATTAACACCGATTTTCTGCAAGTTGTTTACCATCTCGTACAGGTCGGGTATTTTTCCATCATGCTGGAAGACAGCTAGAGTCCAACCAATCCCCAAAAAAGGAACAAGAACCTGCCCAACAACTACAGGCCCATTGCCCTGTTATCAGTAATCTCCAAAGTGATGGAGAAAGCCATCAATATAGAGCTTACCAAATATCTGGAGAGCTCAGGAATTATCAATGATAGACAATACGGCTTTCGCAACCGAAGATCTACTGGAGATCTACTTGCCTACGTCACCCATTTATGGCAAGCTTCATTAAAAAAATACGGGGAATCTCTAGCTGTTGCGTTGGACATATCGAGAGCATTCGACCGTGTTTGGCACGAAGGACTCCTCCACAAACTACCATCATACGGCTTACCACCTCAGCTATGCCATCTCTTATCGAGTTTTCTTTCAGGCAGATCGCTTCACGTGGTAGTGGACGGTGTATCGTCTGATACCATTGGCATCAATTCCGGCGTTCCACAAGGATCAATTTTGACACCAACATTATCCCTTCTTCATATCAATGATCTGTCGGGAGTAACAACTTGCCTCATCCACAGCTTTGTAGATGATAGTACCCTCCATACTGCGTTCTCTTCCAGAATTCCCATTCCTTACCAGGAAACTAAGAACTCACGGCGCAGGCAGGTCAATGCTGTCAATGAAGACCTTGCTGAAATCACAGCCTGGGGAACCAACAGCCTAGTTGAATTCAACGCCACCAAAACTCAAGCCTGTATTTTCTCTAGAAAGGCGGAACTCAGTATGCCCGATATTGTAATGTCTGGCACCACCATTCCCACCAAGCCCACTATATCTATGCTCGGTATTTCCATCAGCAACACTCTTTCGTGTGACAATCATGTCAGATCCATTGCAAAAGCTGCTTCACAAAAACTCGGATTCTTGTTCCGTGCGAAAAGCTACTTTACACCTCAACAGCTTGGTGGGTGACGCCACACTCACTCACTCTTTGACATCATTGAAACACCGTAGAAAGGTCGGCGACCTTTCACTTTCCTATCGATACTACCACGCTAAATGTTCTCCAGGAGTTAAAAAAAAGTTCCAATACCTACCTCCTGTCCCTACCCTCCCTAGGAACGCACGATGTTCTTTGAACATAATAGGGATTTCCTTTCGTGCGCTCCAAGCGATATAAAAAAATATAGAACACCCTATATGTTTCTTCGCGATTGGAAAAAACGTATGAACAGCTTTCCCAAAATAATCCACCATATTTCTCAATTTATAGGCAACCAAAATTAACAGAGTTTGACGATTCTTCAACGATTCTCATAATATCACTATTCCTTTAACATTCAATTCTCA